CGTTTTGAAAATTTTCCATTGATTTATTAAGTAATAATCGTTTAAATTAAAAGCTCTAAATATCACATTTAGAAGACATACATTCCAAAAAATCGACTAAACCCAGCACCAAAGAAACACACACACACAAAAGTTTACAAATCAACGCTATAGACTGAATTAACGCACACTTTCAAAAGCTTATTGAAAAAGTTACACGGCAATTTTTTTAAGACTTTTAATAACAAATAAAGTCGCTTGTATCCCGTGCCTTTTGACTTAATTAATTATCCTGTCTGGTTTTGTTCGTGCAACCAAACCAATCTTTTAGTGAAGGAGTAGCCCGGTTATCAAATGTTAGGAATATTCCAGCCAGTTTTCTCAAGTTCTGCACTGACAAAAGCAAAAGTGAAGAGATACCGCCACCCTCCTTGCATGATGTCACCCAATGATTGACATAAATCATCCAAATTTGGGCAGCGTGCTATGAAAAACAGGCTGTGACAATTTTAAATGACCTTAAAAGCACACCAGAAACAGTAAAATATCTTTTTTAAATGGATAATAATCCTAGTTTCACTCATTAATAATTCAATTTTATTCCAGAAAATTGATTCTATTATTTTCACACAGTATTCGGATAACAGGTACCTAAATTTCTCCCTATGTGATGAGCTTTAATAATTACATCATAGTCATCCAGCTCCACGTGGACATCCTTTCCCTGCCCAGCCAGGAAACAAACTGTATACAGCGCCATTTCAAATTCAGGGCTGGTGCCAATAAAGCTGCTGCCAATCGGTTTTACATCACCTTTCCAGTTAAACTGGATTGTGAGTAGCTGATTCATGCTCTCTTCTTCACTAGTTGTGTGCTTTTTCTGTCACGCAAAAAAGTAAAACACTTTTTCAGTGAAAGGTTTGATCCCAGGCGTCATGTCAAAAGAGGTGGAATATGATCACCCGGGTGGGTGTATTCCTAAACAGGACTGTTGTTGACAGTGACTGATGATTCGACAAACCGTGTAGTAGCCATCTTCAGAGTCAAAACTATTTTTGTGCTATTTTTTTTACTCTGAAGATGACTACTGCACACATTATCGAAATGTGAGTTACTGTCAACAACAGTCCTGTTTAGCACTACATTCACTCACACGATCATATTCTACCACTTATGAAACACTTTTTCAATGCCATTTAAACAAATTAATCATTTAAACAAGGTAATAAATACACAGTTGCAAAGCACCTATCAAAACAAAAATCTCCACATCTTTTTTAAGGGAAATAAATAATAAATCTACATTTGGCCTGCTCCTTAGAGCTCTGCACTAGAAACCTTAACAAATGTCTTACTCTTTGAGCAACCTGATTCTCTATGCTTGTCTCATTCTGTTACAAAATTTCATGTTACTGATTTGGTGTTAAGATTACAGTAAACTTGATACATTATTTTGAACATCGATTATCTGGACTTCTTGATTCTCCAGACTATTTCTCTGATTCCTGTTTTTTTTTGTCATAAATATTGATAAATCAACATCATGATTTGAGAATACAATTTTATCATTCAGGTGTTGAAAAGCTTCTTTGAACTAGACTTTGTTTTCCATTCAAAGAGCAAAAGTGGCACTGGCATGTGATAAACATTCATCTGACTGCTAAAAACTGAGTTTCTGACTACCCCACAGATTACGTACAAACAAATGTTAGCCAATGTTAGCTTCCTTTGTAAATAATGAAAATACTTATGATGATGTCACTGACATTCACATTTTCCAATTACCCAGTCTGTTGATTTCTTAGACTATTCACTCCAGTCTTTCCAAGTCTAAATAATCAAGCAGGACCCATATTGATAGCAGTTTTTATAACTGAAATGGTCATCCTGTTTAAACATGTTATTATTATTATTATTATTATTAGTTCCAATGCACAGCATACTTACTCTTCGACTTGGGAAGAAGCCTTTATAGTTAACCAAGCCTTTTTTCTCTTGCAAATAGAACTGAATCCAGTTATGGAAGCCAATCACTTCTGCCCTGTTTCGTGATTCACCCACAAAAACATGTTCAAAGCCAGATGAGTCCAATTCCCTAAAAAAAGTAATCAGTTTGAGGCATTCAAATGGACAAATAAAGCAAACCAAAACCACCTCTTTCAATGTTGCAAGCATCAAAAAGGAAATCTATGAGTTTTTATTCTACACTATCTTTAACCATTTCAACATTATAATACAGTGAAAGCTGTATTAAAAGGACACCCTTGGGGAATGCTGTAGTGTCCGCTTAATACAGGGTGTCTGCCTAATACAGGTTTCGATAGATAACGTCATTTGAGGTGTCAAATGCCATTCAAATGAACAGTGGAAACATTTAGAATACTCCTAGAGGCTATGACGATATACGTTTGCATTAATTTCTTTATCAAAGTGGACCAATTGATCATAGTACCATAAACATAGATTGCAACTCAAATTTGAAGAAATCAGATGAGTGAAACAAGCTCTTTACAAACAAAACGAAATAGAAAACAATACTGTACTGTGAAACTAATCAAATAAGTTTGTCAAGTCACGTTTTTTAACGTAAAAATCGAAAAATTGGTGGGTGGCAATTCGAGGCAATCTTTCGCATTTCCGGTGTCTGGCATGTTGGGTGGTGGAATTTAATTACAACTATCCGTGCAATACAGGATGGCAAAAATAGAAATGACCATTTCAGGTATTTTTTAGGTGCCTGCGTCCGCTTAATAGAGGTGTCCGCTTAATAAAGGTTTCATTTAAAGTAAAGAAGGGAATTAAATTTAGGGACTTCGGCTACTGTCCGCTTAATGGAGGGTATCCTCTTAATACAGGTTTCACTGTATGGACATAATAATAGTTACTCACTACTGAAATAAATTGGGGTTTAACCGAAGGCTCCTAACCTTCTGTTGTACACATACAGGTGTAACAGTGTTCTTAAGAAGCTCCAGCACTGAGCAAAAATTGCTAAATAGTTGCTGCAGAAGTACCGGCTACTCACAGAAAATGATTTGTTAAGATGGGAATAAATAAGTGTATTTTTCCTCAACAAATTTGTTCAATAAAAACAAATGTTGCTTATGATAAAATATAACACACATGTGGGTAAATAAAGGTACCACGTAAACGGCTAAATTATTTTTATTCTTTAACTGGTCCCTCCAAATGCACCGAAATGAAATTTTCAGAGCATCTAAAAGAAAATTTTTCCTTCTGGTAAGACTGTGATTCCCAGCAATACATGTACCTAACTCCACATGCTGCTGAGTTCTATTGATCTACCGTAATTCATTACTGCCTACTTTTATTTTTACTCCATCTGCTTTACATTTTCTGGAGAGCCCTGTATAACTAACTCACCTTACTCCTTTTGTCCTCCTGTACAGTTTAAACCACATATCATACAGTGCCATTTTAAATGGACCACGCTCCTTTGGCATAAGTCCATGCTTTGACAAGTATTCATGAGCAATTTTCATTGGTTCTGTTTCATAGATGGCATCAATGAAACACTGATTTTCTCGCACTTCTTCTTGAGTGACAACCTCTCCTTGGCCAGTTTCACTCTCATAGTTGTCCAACAAAGCTACAAATCCTAGAAGACAATATTAGAAGTAATCAAGATCAGGATGCAACTTAAAATCAAGTTCTGACAACCATCACTAAACAGGGACGACGAACTAAATGTTCACACATCTGCTAATCTACTTTCTAGCCCTTGTTCATCTAATTTCTGTCACCTGCACATACTGAGGTTTTGACTGGGATGTTAGCAACTTTCAGCCATGTGGTGGTTTTGGGGTCAAGAGCAGCCATTATCCCTAGCTGATTGGGTGGTTTGAAAAATAGGCATTCCTGGAGCAGGGACATGACAGTCTGCTGTGAGCCATGCTGATATTTGTCATCGTCACTAGTACCAATCATCTTAAAGAAGGACTGTACCCTCCCTGCCACCCGGTTAGCTCAATCGGATAAGCGCCCATCTGCTGAGCGGGAGGCCATTGGTTCAAACCTCGGCTGGACCAAAAGTCAGGGTCTTCAAATAACTGAGGAGAAAGTGCTGCCTTTGTAATAACATCTGCAAACGGTTAGACTTTCTAGTCTTCTCGGATGTGGATGATAAACCATAGGCCCCATCTCACAACCCTTGCACATACAAATTCTGTGGGACATTAAAGAACCCACACACTGTTCGTAAAAAAAGGTAAAGGCATACACAAGCCAAAGGCCCAAATGGGCGGAACTTATCCCGGTTTCATAAGCATGAAGCATACCTAGGAGTATTGCTACTCCCCCCTGGATGGGATGCTAGTCCATTGCAGGATTATCCACATCCAGTGTATGGGCCTTTACATCAAAGGTTTTTATAGGCTGTTAACAACAATAATATTGTTATTGACTTAGGGACAATACTAACTTTTATATGTTGGACGCTTAAAAACCTCAGGGTCTACCCAAGTAAACAGTGGATCTGCTGCATGATCTTCACGAGAACGGAAGCGTGTCTTCCCTTGTGGATCAATCTTGTAGTCAACTCCTGGAATGAGACGATTCTTATCTGCATCCCACATTCGGCCACATAATGGAGATAATTCAGGATGTGGGCGAAACCTATGTGAGAAAAAACATGGTTATATGCACTACCTGTATTAATTTGATTATATCCTGGTTAACTGACAAAGCCATCCACAAGGTAGCTCCTTGTAATTTTCAGGAACATATTAATCTTAGTGAAGCAGGCAGATACATGTTGTATGCTCTGATGTCCTTAGGCTGTTAATTAACTCTGTTCAAAATATGCAGAACTGTACATTTAATAGGAGATTGTTCCCTTACAGTCTGGCTCTTCCAAAATGTTGGAACACGAACTACCTTTTACACCAAGAATTAAGTAGCTCTGCTATTACTTATTTTTAAATAACCCAAAATACAAAGAAAATAAATAAATAACTTAATTTATTAATTTCGTTTGATCATGATCATGCAAATGAAACCGATACTTGATCGTTACCGCCCAAAAAATTTTTCATACCATGTCAACGATCAAGCTGCTTTCAACGATCTTCACATAAGGGTGATCGCCTTCTTCGTGAAACAATACCTATCAATACTAATTTCTTTTAAAAGCTAGATAAAGCTTCAGCCTCCGTTAGGCTTTTTGTGTTTTTCGAGAACCATCCATGCCGCGCCAGGTCTTAAATATTTTCGCTTAAGCTTACTGTTCGGGATTTTCTGCAATGTTTCACATTTTAACTTAAGTTGTTTACCTCCAATGAATCCACTTATTTTACTTTAAAAAATGAACGTAGTACATCGCAAAAAAGGAAAGATGACGGGAAATATACTCACTCTACTTTGGGCGCCATGTTGAATGTGAGACACAGGTGAAGACTGGAACTAGCGTGACTGGCCTCGTAATCATGTGCTTAGAAAAAAGCCCGGGAAAGCGGTGGCAACATGGCGTATCGTACAAGGTATTTTACAAAAACCAAAACAGTCTTATGTTGTAAATCATACACTCTCTTTCGTTCTTCTCAAACACCTAATTAAAGAGCACAATCGGTTTAAGTATTTGTTGAAAAGAAATTGCCTTCCTTTCGCTTGTATGAATTTCAACCTTTTTCTAATTCGATGCAGAACCATGGATGAAGTCAACAAGCTTGCGGATGCTGCAGGTCTCGTCAACAGAAAAGGCCTTGTGCAAGTGCTACAGTTCTCTATGAACCCTAGCAATGATGAATACAAACTCTTAGAACTGCCCCCTAACATACTGGAGTCTCTCAATACTGGAGACAAGTAAGTTTGTATGATGCAAGAGCATACAATATCAGTGGGATTAAAAGCCTGTCTGCATGTTGTAACCAGACATTAGATCTCTATCTTTCGCTTGTATAGTTTGGAGTTTCCCTGTGTAGGTCATGTGATAATACTCCAGAGAACTGTTTCTTTCAAATAACGTCTTATTCATGTATGCATAGCTTATGAAATGACAAACGGGCAAACTGCCCCCCCGAGACCTTCATTGGGAAAACAATAAATACAAGCTAAAGAGGTTTAATTGTTGTTTATATACCTGCCAACTTTTTCAAAGTCAAATGCGCATTATTTTTGTATCCATAATACCCGAATCGCTGAAAAAATCTGAGGAGTTCCAGTCCTGGGGGGGCACTTGGGTATTTTTTGGGTGGGTGTGTGCCGCCCGGGACTCCAAATTGGCACCCCATTCAAAAAAAAATGTCCCCTAAAATTGTACCCTGTTCTAGAAATGGGCCAATTTTTTATACCCCGCTCTAGAATTCACCCTAAAACTGATACCCCGTTCTAGAAATGGGCCAATTTTTTATACTCCGTTCTAGAAAGTTTGTGAATTGAAATAGCCCTGTTTTTTTAAAAAGATATTTCTTTATTCTTTTGACTTATACATCAAATAAATGCTTCTTCATAATCAGCAACAAGATAGAACAAGCAGAAGACGAACAAGCAGAAGATAAAGCCGTGATCCACAATTTTTTTCCCCCGTTCTAGAAAACGCCTCTGAAATGGATACCCTGTTCTAAATCACAAGCTTCAAAATCAAGACCCCGTTGGGTGGCACATACCCGTATAGGTAATATATGGGATATAATATATGGGGCTTCCAGTTCAGTTTTGAAGATGTTCCAACAGTTCTGAACATTACCAAAACGTCCCAAAGATGTTTTGATGATTTCCAAAGGTTACCAAGTGTATTGGTGTGCGGCACCTTCTTGTTGAGATCATGCATATACCTTTTAAATCGCACATATAGGTAACTGATATCACCTACTTAATATTACTTTTCACATTTTTTTTTCGAAAGAACATTTGAACAAGTTACGACTCCTGAGCTTTTCCTGGTTAAGTAAACTACGACTATGACTATGACTAATAATTGTTATTGTTGGTGGACAAGTAGACCTTGTTTTATTCTTTGCTTTTTATTTCCATGATGCTTTATATAAATTTGTGATGGTTTCCATAGCCAACAGTCTTATATCCTGGGGGGGATGTACTCCCTTATATGCCCTATACAGAGATGTGCCACTTTTTAATTACAGGGTAAACATTGTTTCCTCTCTGTCCTAAACAGGGTATATAATTTTGGGTGAGCCTATCCTAAACAGAGTACATGATTTTGCACGCGTCTGTCCTAATTAAAAACAGGGTATTGCCTGTACAATTGATTTGATTTGCTTGATGGAAGTTGTTTATACTGCAAGTATACAAAAGCAATGACTATAACATGAATTTGTTCTATTTCATTTGCCAATAAATGGCTTTAAAACAAGACAGAGTGCATTTTGTCCTTTGTCCTTTGTCCTGAACAGGGTATGCATTTTAGGAATTTTTTCGTCCTAAACAGAGTCAGGGTTGCAAACCCTCAGTGGCTCACCTATACCCAAATGATTGTAATTGATTACAGACCACAATAGTCATGGACGATGGTCATGTGATGCATTCGTGATGGCTGTCAGGTTTTGTCCTTCACAGCTTTTGACCTTCACAAGTTTTACTAAAGCCCACTTTACACACATGTTGGCCTACAAGGGAATCTGTCAAATACCTGAATTACTCCTGTTAGGTGATGGAGTTATTGTCTTTATAAGACTTAAAATAAATGTGCATAATGACATGAAATGGACAGGTGATTACCAAATATGTAACAGTAAATTTAGAAACAAATGAAATTGCAGTGTGACTATCAGAGGTGATCACCAAGATGAGGCTGTTTTGTGCACAGAGAAAGCAACATTTGACTTGAAAATGGCTGATACTTCAAATTCTCTTCTTCTTGTTCCTGAATGCATCTTGTTCAAAGATGAAGGTCAGTGGATGAATTAATGTTATTTTAATTGCTACAATCAACAATGCACATGACGTAATGCATTTGAGGCAGTGGTTCAAGTGCCAGACCTTCCAGTCTGGAGACCAAGGGTCCTACCCCAATCCCTAGCTGGATTTGTTTCTCAGAAATGCCAAAGTTTAATTAAAAATAATTAAACATAACAAGGAAGAATCCCCACTGCCTGGGGATGACTAACTATGAATTTAGCTAATATAAAGAAATACTCAAAGGAAATACTTTAACAAGAAACTAGTGTTTTATGATTTGTTTTGGTTATTTGCTTGGCCCCCCCACTTGCCCTTAAGTTGTGCTATAAATACTGATGAAGAAACCATATAATAAATATATAGAAACCATAAAATAATATGGTTTCTTCAGTGGTATTTATAGGGCAACTAAAGGGCAAATGGAGGGCCAAGCAAACAACTCAAACAAATCATAAAACAGTAATTTCTCTTTAACGTTTTTTTTCTCTTTGTCTAATTTATTGTTTGTGGCAAATAAATAAATCTTAGACAAGATCCTTTTTCTGCAGAATTCCAATCTGAAGTCTCGCCACTGGTGTTCAGGGAGGTAAGTTTTATTTACTACGTATAAATATTTCTACTGAACAAAATGAATGAACTTTTGACAAGGAGCTTAATCCTTAGCTAAATGTGTCACTACTAAATAGAGATGGTTGTTGACAGGAGAGGCTAAGACTGCTGTTGATGACAACGTAGAGAAAATACAATATTATTTTCTTGGAGCTTTGCCAATTTTCCGTTTTTAAAATACTTGTAACAGGGTTCAATCCTGGACGTAATCGTATTCAATGTCTTACTAGCTACAGGGTTCTCAATAGATTTTTAAGTAGGAGGTGATCACTGATAAAGTAGGAGGCTCTTCAGCAAAGCCAGAGGTGTCAAAACAAAGCAAAGAAAAGCGACTTAAACACAAAGTCCAAATAAACCCTGTAGCTAATAAACAGAATAAATCCAAATAAATCATTTTTTTTTTCATCAGGTTTCCAGTTGTCATACAACATACTTTGAGGTTAAACATAGCAGACCGCGTCTGGAGAAGCTGAAGTATCTTCTCTCTGAAAACTTGTACAAAGGACCAGAGAATGAAACAAATCTTGAGGACATAGCAGAGGAAAACATTACAAACAGAAATACCCTGGTGTGTTACTTCATGTGTCAGTAAAAGACCACTGAGACATTCTTTAAAGTACTTTTGTACATACAGTCAACTCTCACCTTGGACACCCTGCTATAATGGACACCCCAATAATACAGACAGCAGCTTAAATCCCAGGCAAAAATAGATAGCCAACGTTTGACTGATATAAACTCCCGCCATTACAGATTCTTGCTAATGAGAACATTAACTTGAGGTCCCTACAGTGTCTGCTGTGAGGGGAGTTGACTGTAATATTTGCTGCAGTTGATTTCTACAACAACATGATACATTTATTGTGATGTGCAGCATGATTACTTATGAACTTTTGTCAGCCTACACATTATTTTAATGCATCTCTTTATGACTCAAGATCTGTTCTCTGTGGAGTACTCTGTCCCTAGAATACATTGTTGACAGGACAAATAACATTTTTATAGATCTCAAAAGTGATACATGTACAGCGTGTACGTTTTCCAACATTTAGAGAATTTGGGTATGTTATTGGGCATTGCATGCAACACCTCAGTCAGCAAATCAGTTGATATTAATATTGGATATATGTGGATCTGATTGTAGGGCACCCTCAAAATATAATTAAAAAGTGCAGAAAATGCAAAGGCAAGTGGGCTCCCAAATAACCCTTGTTAGTATAATTATATTTATATATAATGTTTCTTTCTTTTTCAGTACACCCTTTCAGACTTACTTTCCAAAGTTCAGGCAAGTAAAGCTGAGCTTATTGATGCATTAATGAAAATGGAGGCTCTAGAAATTGATGGTGAGTTTATTTCACCCAAGTTTAAGTAGATTCCTTTTACTTACATGACCCTACTATACTGAACAGCATGCATAGTCATCACTAAGTTTTATCACAAAAGAACAACATCATTGAGTAGGGTGACAGAGTTCAATCCTTTTGAAAGAATTTAAAACAAATCTCTTCACTTTGGTTGTCATGGCAACATCACAGGTCATGACAAAACTACATACTGAAAAGGCTTGATTTTTTGCCTCTCCCCCCAAATTAGTGGCCCATTTGCGCTCAGAAAATGAAATAAGTACCCAGTCACTTATTCAATTCATTTACTGTATTAAATACAAATTTTGTCCAAATGTTTGAGGAAAAATGAACCACAAGTAATTTAAACCTTGCCTATTATAAGTGCTCCAATTAAATACAGCTGGCAAAAAAATTTAAAAATGTTCATGGTTAAGTGAACAGTGAACTGTCGTACATTATTGTTTCACGTTTCACTTGTTAGGTCACTGGCGCCTTCTAGATGCTGACTACAAGGAGCATGTGGTGGTAAGGATTCTTTCTTTACTGGAAGAGAAAGACTGGAGTTATGAGGCAATACCAGCAAAAGAATGTTGTGATATTTTGGAGGAACTTGAACCAAGGTACAAGAGATAACAGTCTATTTTATTATGAAGCAGCAGAGTTATTGCTCCCTTTCTGCCTAAAACTGCTAGTAATGAAGCATGATGTGGTCTCTGTCTTATCTGTTTTTCTTTCCCCATACTGATCTTTTCTACAGTGAAGAAAATAGATGAAAGTGAAATTACTTCCTGACTTTCATTTTTTTTTCTTTCAGAAATATTCTTGAGCATTGTCTCAATTGCTATGGCGAAATAACAGACATGGATTCAGACACAGGTTAATAATTTTATTACCCCATAGTTTTAACTACTGTTTAAAAAAGGAGCAGGAGTGTATTATCAGGTTTTTTAACTTGAGGCAAAGCCGAGAATTTTTTACACCTGATAATATATGATTGTGGGTTTTTTAACAGCCTCAAAATCTCTGATATAGATCAACTCATTCTTGCACTAATATTTAGATTTGGGGTTATTTTGGTGTAAAAAATTGGACTTTAAGTTTAGCCATGTCTTTATCAGATCTTAAGACACTCATTAAACATTAGTTTCTTTTGTTTTTGTTTATAAATTATTAGTAAGTTTTGGAAGTTCACTCAAACAAAGGTAAATGTTGTTCAAGCCCATTAGTGAATGACCAACCAATTTACTATTTCTGATAAACTAGGCAAAAACTATTTAATTAGTCTTAAAATGTAAAATCTGTGACTTTGTGGACAATACAAAAGGTCAAGATTCTGAGGTGAATGGGACAGGGCAGGTTAACATTGTGCACAAAATATCTGTTCACTGGTTTCCTTTATGCTGTTTCTTAATTCTCTTATTAGGTGAAGGCACTGTTCACTACAGATTCTTAGAAGACAAGATATGTAGATTTTATGCTGAGTATCTTTTAAGACAAGCAGGGAGGGTAAGAACTGATAATGCTTATTGACCTTGTTTAAGGTGATTGGGAGATTCTACAAGTATAAAGTGACAGTGTATTTATAATAAACATTTAATGAACCAGTCCTGACACTTTTTTGTAGTTTAATTACCATGAATTTATGGAGTCTTGGCTGCAAAGTGTTCCAGAAGGAATGAGCACAAAATCTGAACATCTGTCAGTAAGTAGTCTCCTTTGTTATGTCCCATGGTGTGTGTCCACTTGCATAGTGTGGGTTCACAGTTGCAGTTCTTTGAGCAGTTGATTACCCTAATAATACATTTTAGTCAAATCCTTCTAGACTAAAATACACTGAAACCTCCTCTAAAGTACACCTTCTTTCAGCCCACTAAGGGCCTGTTTATATGAGGTGAGCCAGTCTGGTTAGCCGGACTGACCTGCTTCACCAGGATGGCTCAACTTGTCCTTAATTTCTCATAAATTTGTTTGGCCGATTTAGCAACAGAACGGGAACGTCAGTTGACAACGGCACGTGCAAAACAAACAACTGGCTTGACCAATGGCAGAGTGGCAAATTGGGCACCGAAAGTTGAATTTAGTCCTTTCTGCACACTTTCCCATCATCAACTGACGTTCCCCTTCTGTTGCTAAATCAGCCTATTGTGTTTACATGAGTAGGCAGGTTAGCCTGCTTGCTGAGATCCCAGTTGCTAAAGCCCAGGTTTCTGTATGTTGGCCAGCCAGCCCTCTCATATAAACACAACAAAAATTTTAAGAATAAACAAGCCATGAGTCATTACATTAAGCCTTACCGGTAAAACAGGCACGTCCAGCTAACCAAGCTGGCTAACAACATATAAACAGGCCTTAAGACATAGTCCTACTGACATTCAAATAGTACAGTTTTTACCTCCCTCAAGTGTATAAATTGATGCTTTTTCTTGCCCCAAAGGATTTCCAATTATGGGAGGTCAAAAATATATGCAAGGTCATTAAAATTGCTCTCTCTTTTACATTTAGGGTATAGCTTTGACCGACATGAAGAGTATTCCTCCTGTCATTTGGCACTTCCCTGCATCAGAACTCTCTGATGATCCAGCACTGAGGTGGGTGGGTAGAGACTGCTCTCATATAGAGCATAGAGTATTTTCTCAAGACTGATAACCTTAAGTTACCGGTACCTTAAGTCTTAATTAGTGGCCTTAGCTCCCTTGAGTCTCCTGTAGCTTAGTGTGGTAGAGCATCTGAACTTGAGGGCTTGTTTATATGTAGCTTATCCAGCTAGTTTACAGGCACTCCACTTAAACACCTTGAAACAAATAATTCAAATACAACATAAAAGGATTAAAAACCCCAACTGGCATGGCCAAGGATTTGAACTTGGGACGACCAAGAACAAATCCAGTAAGTGGCCAGAGCGGGACTCGAACCCAGGACCACCAGATTGTGAGTCCAGTGTGCTGACCACTCAGCCACACTGCTTCCATTAAATCTTGTAACCAGAAGGTCATAGGTTTGACTCCTTTGAGTGTAAAGGACCCTCCCCCCACTGCCATTTTAAATTTCAGTTTCATCGGTTACACAACTAGTAGGTAAGAATTGAAAAACATCTTACTTCAGGTTCTGTTTCATAGGAATGACCTTTAATCATTAATAATTTTTTGTTTCATTCTAAACAGATTTATGAAACTGTTTAAAGTGCAACCCAAGTGGACACTTGAAGAAATAGAGCCATATATAAGGTTAGAGTCAAACCTCAAGGAATATTTTTAATTTTGATTATTTGTAATTCATTGTTTATATTAATATTGATAATGATGCATTTTGTAGTTGGACTTCTCATTCCCTTTAGTCTTAAGAAATGTTTTCTGTGAATACAGTCAAACTTCCAATTGTGACCACCTCTTGTAAGTTAGCCTGCGAGCAAGCTCTCCTATTTGGGCGAGTGAAACGAGGAGAGCTTGCTTGCTGGCTACTAAGTGATCATAGATCTCCCATAAGCCACCATCAACCCAAAACAACAAAACTACCCCAGTCAAATCACTACAATTATTATTGAAACCTCTCATAAATGACCACCTATCTGAAGCGACCACAATCACTTTTTTGTATGACAGTTGTGGAATTTTTCATTGATTTTATCCTCCTGTAAGCAACTGCCTGAGACATGTATGATCTCTAATAATGTTCGCTGTATATTATACTACACAACTTAGTACACAAAGAACCTGTAGTGTCAACATGGAACTACATATATGATCAATCAGAAATTGTATGCAATGAATTCTTTTTGGATGCAAACCCCTGTGGTTTGATTCCCGTAAGTAACCACTAAATCTTTGCATTTTGGGTGGCTACTTACCCAAACTTTGACTGTCTGATTTTTTTTCTCACTTGATATTTTCAGTTTGCAGTACACTGTTCCTATGACCATATTATTTTCCATCATTTCTATTCAGAAATCTAGTAGCACCTGGGCAGTCACTGAATGCTCTTCTTATGAAGTTTGCTCGATCATCAAAAGACGCAACAGGAGTCAAGGTCTATAACTCCAAGAAACCAACATAACAAGCTTTCTACTGAACAGTTAAGCTCAAGTCAAACTCACAAGGTTACCTAGCCTCCAATCCATAATCAACACAAGGACATTTAGTAGTTTGTTGGTGTGTTCACCAAATGACAAAAACTATATTCATTTGAATGTCACCACACCATGAACAAATCCGCTAACCACAACAGTTCCTGCACCATGTGGAAGATATTACTGAGTTTGGTTAGTCACACCAGTGGATTGAACTCATATTCATTCTAAATGTCTCCCTCAAACCAAGAATGCTGCTCCATGTTACAACACATGTCCAACATACAATATTTTTTTCATGACAGAGAAGTGGTACAGCTCAAGCTGCTGACGAAATTATCAATGGTAGATCAGGATTCTGCCCTTGGTAAATAAATATATATGACTAAGACTTCGCTTCCAAAGTGGAACATTATTAAACTCCATTTGGATACAGATTCAAATTTATGTAGTATGGAAGAAAGATGTATTAGTAGCGAGCAGAACAGAGGTTATTTTTTATGTGTTTTCACAGGCAAGTGCGAATTGTGAGGGAGGCATGAAGCTTAAGTCTAATGTGAAGGGATAGGCAAGAAAAAAAAATGCTTTCTTTAAAATTAAAAAAAGGCCATGAAAGTAATAAAAGACAGACCAATTAAATCCACAGTGTGGTGCGAGTATTTTATTTTGAAGTACAATTTCTCTTAAAGGACAGGAACACACAAGCCTCAAGTTACATGTGCAGCTTTTCTTTTGTACAAGTAACTGATAATAATATTGTCTCATTATTACTTTGTGGATGGCAAAATACCACTCACTGTCCTTCCTAGATGGAATGTTCAATAGACATTCGTGTGGCATTTCTTGAAACCCAGCTTTGATACGAGTTTCAGACTTTTACACCTGTTTCTTGGTAAATATGAGACTGATTTGTGCAACAAGAAGAGCAAACGCCGAAAAGAATTTTCCTGAATTTGGTTTATCATTTGCCCAAACTGTGAACTAACGGGTTTGTCCAAGTTAAATAGATGCCAGGACTCAAAAAACTTGAATTCCAGCTTGTCCTTTGGGCATGCAGCTCTCACATTTTGTTGAACCTTGCCCACTGGGCAAGTGAGAGTTAAAAGTTACTTCAGCAAGAAAATCTACTAATCTTAGACTACTGGAAGGGACTCTTTTCAAGCCCTGGACACTCTTGAGGTCTAGATTTTGTGTCATCATTTCCATCTTGGAGTCTAATGCTCTGCAGCAGTCTCAGAGTTTAACATTTGCCACACCTAACTTTTCACTTAGCTTACAAAATAATAGTGAAATTTAATGGTCTGAAACACCTTAATTTTTTCAAAATTTAATCTTTTTATACCATGACCAGTGATTTTGTTACAAATAGTTATGGTGAGTCCTGGGACTTATCTTGTGAAAAATCATGAATCCCAGTCCAGAACCAATGAGTCCTACATTGTAGTTTTTTAAAAAAAAAACGCGTCCAAATTTGAAAATAGTTCAGCCTTTATGTAACCAGACAGTTAATCTGAAGACAGACTCTGAAACTCTGTATTACAGTACACTGAAATTAAAATATAGTCTTTCTATTTTGAAGCACAACAAGGCTAAAAGAAATATGCATCATTAAACAGCAGCCATAATAACTGCCACAAATTACACGAACGGGATATTTTTACAAAATACACACGTTCAGATATTGGGTGATCTTTACGTCCTACAGGATGTATGCCATGAATTATTTTGTCTTTGGGGATTTTGTGTGTCAGGGATGCAGGATGCAGAGGTAAAGCAGAGGTAACAAAATCACTGCACGACAAAGAGTTGCACTTGAAATCCTGTCAACCCAACCCCCTTAAGTGCACCTAAATTAAGTCAGTCTAAATAAAACATTCTATAAACTACAAGTGCCATTCGTACATTTGGTCATAATTATAAATAGGAACTTTGGTGACAGTTCTATTAAAATAATAATATAATTTATTACCATATAACTGTACGATTCTACAAATTTCAAATTTAACAATGGTTTTTGTTGTTACAGAAAACAAATACACCTATTGTACTCTTATCACTCTTCAAAATAAACATCCTTTGGACAAGAGCAAGACCCTTAAACAAGGCAAGACCTGTTATTGTCTAATAAGAAATCCACCAAGGGGGTCTAGAAACACTGTTTTCAGCATTAAGTTCTTTCTTAAAGAAAATAAACCTTGTTATACTGGGGATTATTTTCACCAACTAAACATTTTTTGTTTGAAAAACAAACAAACAAATTTGGATTAAAATCTCATCTTGCCTCCTGCTAGCTACACCTCTGAAATCAACATGATTGTTTTTAAATAAAATGCCACCACCATGAATGCCTCGCCTATCATTGAGTTTACCTGTCAAAAATTATTAATGTCTAGGTTGATTTTGTTCATTGGTTGTCAGTATAATCTACACCAACATTTTAAGAGATTTCATCAAGAATTGATAATTCAGTTGTTAGGTTTTTTTACTGTAGATTTCACATGCAAACCATGCAGGGAATCTGTATTTTTCAAAGATACATATGAAGTTTGGGAGACAACAGTACACCGTCTGGCTGTACTCATAAATAAAACTTTTACTGGGCCTGTATTCGAAAAAGCCAAGACTTAAGTGAGCAAAACAATCTAGGTACGATTACCCACCAGGCATCTCCAGCAAGCTTGCCTGTTTGTATGTTCCAATATTTACTCAACTTTGTCTCTCTTATGACGGCTTTAGTGGCATTATGACAACCAAAGAAGGAGTTCTGTCAGCCACGGAAAAAGCGAGAAATCTACATCTTTGTATAGTCAGAGCTGTGCTCCAGTTCCTAGGTGCTGTTATACTTTTGCTCTTGGGCAACTAGGAAACCTCAGTTTTGCATATAAGTCATATGCTGGGCACCCACCCTGGATTTCACAGGTTCAGAGCATTGGGCTCCCTATAATTTTTCTTACAGCACAGCCTTGATATTCCCTTGTCACCAACTGACCTTATGAGCTTCTTTCACATTCTAGATGATAGATAAATTAATTAATAATATAATTATTGATTAAATCCTGTCGTCATCAGGATCTTCTGATTGAAAAGCAGTTGATGTGAAGGTGGTCACACAGTTCACGAACCTGTGAAAGAAGACATAAGCCTCAAAATACAATACCTCTCTCACTTTACCCCTATAGGACCTAATATTGACAATTGATTAATGCATTCTTCATGCTGTTGACTGGAGGAGGGGTCCACCCCCCCCCCCCTTTACTTTGGTTACTTTGTTTCAGGTAGAGGAGCCCCCTCGTGCCTGCAAGATCTGGATCTGCCTCTGGCTATTTGCACATCTGAGGGCACTATTTGCAATTTTAACAAGTAATGCAAATATTGTCCCCATAAAAGAGTTAAAATATAATAAAATAATAAACAAAACATTCTATTGTTGGTGATTATTTGGCTACAGGAAAGTTGCATAAGCCCTAACATCATAACATACACTGTAACTGCCAACTTCTGGTATTCGAATGAAGAATTATCTGGGCAGAATGTCATGTTACATGTACAAAAAATGTAGTTTTCAAAAATCCAACATATGCAGAGGATCATGAGAAGTAGAAATTTTCTGTAGTGATCAATAGGCCCTTTGCAGTTTGCAGTCACGTGACCTTCCTTATGCAAAAATTGTGGCATACAATACGTTCTAACAATACAAGAAATTAGAAAGAGTATGACTCAGAAAATGCAAATCAATAAGGAGCTAATGGAAACAAAATAATGGTAGTACAGAGTCATGACTTACCACAAATATGCCATAATCAAGATGGAAAATGGCTACTCCAGCAGTGTAGACAACAAGAAGGGCCACTTCAATTTCAACTGATTTGATGAATGGTACAATCAGTAAAAAGCCACAGACAGGATACAACATAACATTGAATGGCTGACATCTCTGACTGCTCATTGTACTGACAATCAGTCGGCACTGGGAAGGTTAAAAAAAACAATGGAATCAACACCCCTGTTCATTTCCCTGATATTATTCCTGCTGAAAGCGAGATCCAGACTACAAATTGAGAGTCTGGATGCGTGCTGTATGATATACAGATCTTATTCACCATACCTGCCATCTCTGCTCACACTTAAGGACTGATGGGATAAAAGCGATGTCACGAGGTTTCTCAGGAGGCAAACAAGTGATAAAAATCTGCCAAACTGTGGTCGAGTTTGTTTATTCTAGACAATATAAAATGACGAACTCTTTATCTTGAAGATGATTATGGCAAAATATGGGCGGAAGTGATCATTTTTATGTTCTGGATACAGCAGCAACCATAGATGTCCTCACAGAAGGCATATAACTAAGTAAAACTTGTTGAAACTTGAACTGTAGATTTTGCGTGACTAAATTATCATTGTGTCTTCACTTGAGAGGACAAACAAACCCGACTGTGATTACTCGTACACATACATCACTGTACATTAACTGAAAAATAACTGTGACCTGTGAAAAATTTACTACCAGCTGAAAATCATAGCAAATAGTTCAGACGATATATAATCGAGAAGTCTATTTTATCAAGGTTTGTGTGATCATCACGCACTGAGGCTTAACTGTACAACAATGTATCAAAATTAACTTGTTTAATATCTAGTTGCATCTTGATCTACTGGTTTACGATTGTTCTTGTTTGACAAGCTTCTTAGTTACTCACTGTCATGTTGGAGAAGACAATTCCCGTAGCTGTGAAAAAAAGGCGTGGTTGAAGGTCTAGGATGCCAGCAGGAGACAGGAAAGCCCAGGCAGAAAACAGAAAAATCATTACAAGAAATGAGAGCATGGGAAGGAAGCCTTCCATGAATGATAAGCCACGGTCTGTCATAGACATGCGAGCCCTGGGTGGAAAAATGTGAAGTGTTAATAAAAGTAATCTGTTAGTAAAAGAAAAACATAATCAAAGTGGATTTAATTTAAGTTACAGAAACAGGAAATTGAGCTGAATGCCGGTAACTTAACAGGGCTTGAGTCATTAAATAAAGTGCCATGTCCGGCCTGGATTTTATGGGCACATTACGTACATGTAGTGGGGAATAAAAGAAATGTTAGAATGTGACTTGATTTATAGAAAAGCTCACTTTTCTAATTATTGCAAGCGACAAGAGGAGCCCGCAGTCCTATTAGCTCCAGGTTATTATTACGCATGCATCGTATGTAGGTAGCCTGAATTTCATTCAAGTACTTTGAGTTGTTTCCTCCTCTCAGCAACACATTACTGAGGGAGTAATAACGACTCGAAGTAATTGGACGAAATTCAGGCTATGTATGTATGTACATTGTAGCCAGCATTCTTTTAGCATTCATTTGGACTTCCACTAAGAATGAATGGAATGCACAGAAGGCAATTTGATAACTTGCATTGGACCTTCCATCACTCATAATTTGATCATGCGTGTTTTGAACAACTGTACAACACACTGACCAATGAATAAAATTAAAATAATAATAAACCTTAGTTTTCAGAGCTTTTTCATACTTTTAACCTGGACTACGTGTAGGTAGCAGGCAAAAAGCCATCCACAACACTGGAAAGAGCATCTTAACCAACGTTACCAACGTTTGAGGAATACGTTGAAAACTAACAAAGATGTAGCTCCACCAAGTCACAAAATTTTACAGGTACATCAGTATGGTGGAGGGCACAAGGTTACATCCCACACTGTACAAACACATGTTACTAAAATTTTCCAACATTGTGAAGCTTCGTACAGAGTGTAACTTAGAAAGTTTCAGTCTAAATATCACTCAAAAATCTAGCAGGGTCAATGAATTTTATAGGGAACTGGTCCCTTTTACAAGTTGAAAAAATAAAATAACTGGAGAAGACACTATTTTACATGTAATTAAACTTACTTGTACAAGTTGTAAATTGCCATAGAAAGTGTTAGGAAAGAGGAACCTACAAAGAAGATGGAATAAACTGTTGGTAAATTGAATCCAAGTATCAAAATTAATTTAAGAAGAGGATCAATGCATAGGAGAGAGGCCACTAAGTACATTTGAAACCAAGAGGGCTGCCATTATACTACAATAATGTTAATCACTCAATCTTAACAATCTTACAGATAGGGGATCAAACAGTGTAACCAGTTGAGATGTTCTTACAATCTGAATACAATGAACAGAAGGGGTGAATCAGTGGAGTAAAAACCCAATAATAAGATCCTGACCAACTGCTAGATTCTCCTTTCAAACTACCCTTCATTTACTTTTGAGACAATTATAGAGAATCTGTCATAAGATCAAGTCACTTCAAGGGCCATTTTCCATGCACCTCTTTATTAATTGAAAACTATTCATTAATTAATATTATTTATAGTGATTTTTTTGACATACCATATACTGTCCACCGAAAAACATGACACAATGGAAAGCCCTCAACTATCTCAGCTTTCCACATGTTTACTCCAAAGATAAATGTTGACAGGTATACCAAGGCAATGGCCTGGAAGAGAAAAATTTAAAATCTACGATAAACAAAGCAAATGTTAAATAATAATTATTATTAAAAACTGAATCATTGGATAATGCTATTCTACATCTCTGATTGGCTTAGCCATCATGGTATATGAGCCATTGTACCATGCTCTCCAAATGTGGTAATTGTACGCGTCTGCTCAAAATTAAAGACAAGCTGAAAATAGGTTATTTTTACAAATAAAGTTGGGAAGAATAATTTCCCGATGTTTTGTGGGCGTGGATTAAATAAAACAATATTATTCCACTCACACTTGTTGGATATTAGATGACTATAGCCAACTCATATCCAACTATATGTGCACTCGTGGAATAATGAGAGTTTTACAACTTGATTGTAAAACACAGTTAATGGAGAGTGATGCCCTCAATCAGCAACACGTAGGGCAATGTTATGTCAGGCCTATTATCACATGTTGTAGAGTAATAGGTAAAATTACTGGGTACATGGTTGGGAAATTACAGATACAATAGCGATCCTTGTTTCTGTTGCAGTTAAGGCTAGTTTCTAATGTATCGCTAATAATTTTTCCTCATGCATATCTCATGGAGCACAAAATTATGTCCAAGAGTGTTAACCATCAATAAAAATAAAATTATTACCATACTACATCTAATTCAGGGGTTTTTTAAGGCACAGTTTAGTTAATCTGGCTGTTGATATAATAATTCTAATAATAAATAAGAAACTGGAAAAATTGAAATTACTCTTGCCCAATTCAAAATAAAATTTAGGTTTTTTATTTTTTTGAAGGTACAAATGAACAAGATATTAATTTCTTCATAATAAATAAAGAAAAAGTAGACTTAAAAATGTTACTTGATGTTTTGAAATATTATCACTTGTTGATGCTGTTTGAAACATCAAAACATTGAGTAATGTTTTTAAGTTTAATTTTCCTTGTTAAATGCTTCAACAAGCAACTGACTATCGGATAAATTGATAAAATAATAATTATTGGGCTGCCCGTGAGGGCAATGCCCAATTAAGAAATACCTTCCACCTATGTGGAAAAAAAAAACAAAATGGTGGAGGGAACTCCCAGAAGGCTTTACATATCCCATTTCCCTTCAATGAAGCCAACTTATGCAGGGAGGGGAAGGGTCATTTCAGGTCATGATATGGTGAACAGACTTGAAGTTGATTTGGAAAAGACAAAAATATTTGCTGTTTATAACAGTATTTAAAACCCCAAAAGTTGACCTGTCACATTTCATAAGTTTTGGAGTTTCCGGTTAGATCAAATTAGTCACATTATACTGTCAGACTACAGTCTAATCTTTACTTATGAACACCTCTATAATATGGACACCTGTCTATTACGGACAGTTCCTTTGCTCCCAGAAATGCCAAAAATCGTACATTCCCTACCTCTATAATACGGACACCTCTGTAAAGCAGACACTTGGTTCTGTCCCCTTGGTGTCCGTATTAAAGAGGTTTGACTGTGTATTTTTTGGGGAAGGGGGTACCTTGTGGAAAGTCCCAGTTAAAAATAATGCTAATTGTTTCTTGTTTCAAAAGGCTAAATAAGTGCCTGTTTTTATTCATAACAGTAGACGTTACTGTACAGCCTCAGATTAAAATGCGCAGTCGGCAGACCAATGAACCCCCGCTATAGGGGTCTTGTTTCATCACAATTCCAATCGTGTTCACAATGCCTAGAGCTGGTTGCTTCTGAGAGTGGTCACAGAAAAAGTATCAACTGTCATGAGGGAATCTGGCCATTGTGTAGTTCCAGAAAATATCCAGACCCCCACCACGGAGGGAATTTCACTTAGGACCCCCCCACCTCCCTGGATTTTCCATTTTTGCAGGGAACTGATGACCCCCCACCCCTCTGGAATTTCCACAAGTGTGACAAAGACCCCCCAACCCCTCTGGAAAAGTTCATTTTCACAAAGAAAGACTATTAAAGTAGAAGAATGAGGCAACTTATGGTTAGTACCCAACGGTTTCCATCAGAAGCTTGTATGCTTCTGTTTCCATTTATTTGAGTGATCTCGCAACATCAAAACACACTACACCACCACAAAGTAACCTGATCTTTAATTTTTGCTCATCTCTTACTTTAAATGAAACAGAGAAAGTTAATAAGTCGGTTATATTTGTGAATTTACCTTAATCAGGGCAAGCTTACGATTTGTTATTCGTCTAATGGGCGTAATGTTGATAGAATTAACGCCATTTCGTGCGTGAATGCAGAACAAGTCAAACAAACGACAACAAAATTAATGCAAAACAAAGAGGAGAATAAAATCTCTGAATTCTGAAATGATAACAATGAATACCCCCCTGCATTTTGAAGGTAATTGAAGGGAAACCAAGTTCAATTTACTGTTTTTCGATCGACTGATGCGACGTGATGCGCGATGGCCGTATAAAAATGTTTGGTGAAATCGACACCATTTCGGCGAGAATTCGATCAAGAACATGCCACACGTTCAACCACAAAATTAAGGGAAAATGGAAAGGAGAATAAAAACTCTTCATTAAGTGGTTACAATGTATAGCTTGTGCTTCGTGAGGCAAAAATTGCAACTCTTCTGATCTATCGATCGACTGACGCAACGTGATTTTAGTTGCGTGATGTGTTGCACGCGTTGATGGTTTGAGGAAGACTGGTAACCAGTAATGGCGGCCGAATATACGAGCATGCGATAAAACGAGTTGTAGTCGGTCTAATTCCTTTGAAATTACATCCAAAACGCTTTTGGAAGAAAGGACACCTAGTTAAGATCAAAAGGAACAGTCTTAAGTGATATATTTCAAGTTATTTATGTCCTAAAAATGATCTACCAGGTCGGTAAGAAGCTATGTTCGAACTCAGGTCGAAAACGAAATGATATTGCCCCCCTGGAAAGTGATTTTATGGTCCAACCCCCCTCCCTTTTGGAATTTCCTGGGCCTCTGACCCCCCCACCCCCTTGGAATTTCCAATTCCCTCCGTGGTGGGGGTCTGGATATTTCCTGGAACCACACATTGCAGTAAAAAATTGACTGTACACACAAATTTTATCCTTGTTGGACTGTTTGGCATTCATATTTTGTCACATGTTGACATTTATTCATTATATCGAGGTATATTATAGGTTTGTGCTTCTGGATTGTGTTCGTTATAATGAGAATTTCATTTAATTGAGGTTTGTTATAACGAGGTTCTCTTCCATACATTTTACTTTAATTTTGGCCGGGCTGACAAATATAATTTGTTATACCAAGGACTACATTATATATAATGTTACAGGTCAAATTTGATTTCAGGTTAAATTGTTTTAACCTAGGTTGATTTTCAATTTCCTATGTCTCTTAGAGCTAGGAGACCAAAGAATATATTGAGAATCAACCTAGGTTAAATTTGTAACCTGAAATCAAATTTGACCTGTAAAATATACATGTCATGTAGAAGTTCAATGGATCGAGTTTCTACTGTAGATGAATGATACAGTATCAGTCTAACCTAACAACTACACTTGTCAACAATCTTACCAGTTGACTTGCATCATATGTCCATGGCAGAAATAAAGTACCAGTGTTGTACTTTTCCCAGTGTGCTGTGTAGAAACCCAACAAACAAGCTAACAAAATGCAATGAAGTTCCCAAAGAGTAACGCTGTGAGGACCATGACCAAACAGTGAAAACAAACTGATGGCCATAAGAAATGCTGCAGAGCTGTCCAGTCCATGGTCAAATAATTCACCCAGAGGAGAACTGAAAATAAAGTATGTAATTAAGAAGAATGTCATAAACAGGTACTTGTGCATCATGTCACAAGAGTTTATATTTTCCTTTTTTTAAAAATAGAAAATAAAAAACACTACAACAAAGTGAACTCAACAAAGGTCAGATGTTCTAGTCACCGAACTAAATGTCAGAAGACTGATAACCATACTTTAGCCATTATACTAGGTCAGCAGCATGCTTCTGACTAGGTTTCTAAATTATTAATCTTGTAATACATTTTGATTACCGCATATTTTCTAACAGATGTCCACTCTCAAATAAACACCTCTTGTCTAATAAACATCCCCATTATGCCTTCAAGTTTGCATTAGACACCCCACTCTAATAAACGCTTCCTGTCTAATAGCTGCCCTTATGACAGGTAGTATAGGTAACAGAATGATTTGTAGTGATATTTGGCATAAATACCACGAGGGATATTTCGAAATTGTTACACATAATTTCATGAGCCATTTGGTGAGTGAAATTTGAGACAATTTTGAAATAATATTTCAAAATTGTCTCAAATTTCACTCACATAGCACGATTTGTATGTGATATTTAGCATAAATACCACTCGGAATATCACGAGTCGTGAATATTATTTGTTTATACTTACTACCCACAAAAGGTTTGTAATTTTCACATGTAGGTATTTCAAATTAAGCTGAAATACCACTGCTCTAAGCCAATCAAATTGCAGAAACTTCTCATGTGGTAGTATAAACTCCAGAATACTAGGAATTAGCAAGAAGGAGCAAAACCATTCAATTTATTCAGTTTCTTGTTTGAATAACAAGAGCTCATGCATTGCACAAGGTAAGGATTCTGACATGGAAAGGTGAAGTTAAAAAAAAACAAATTGCTCTAAACAGCTTAGACATATAAATGGATGGACTACAGTGTGCTATTAATTTGTATAATCTGGTAATATATTCGTTGAATGCATACAAGTTTTTTTGGAGTTTGTTAGAGTTATGAGAATAAAAGCCTCTCTCTTTTATTATTAAAAGCCTCTGCTTGGGCTTCTGAAAATAAATAGATGCTCTGGGCATCTACATGTGTTAGATCGCGTACAGTATCCGCACTGTTAGTAGGAACAGGAACAAATTTTTCAGTATATATTATGAGATAAATTCAATACCTGCTGTTTGTTCTGCGTGCCTGTTTACCATCACAGCCATCAAGTGTGTGAGCAATAAACTGTGCCACTGCAAATATAAGCCACCATACAGATGGCAAATGCTTTTCTGGATCAGATTGAGATGAGGCAGTAAAATGAGGGTCATAATAGCTAGTCACTGCGAAGATCATAAACAGGAGGCACCAGCCACTAAATGTGAGGACATTGGGTGCAAGCCATCGAGGAAAAAACTGCAAATTTAGGATACAGAAAATATTGTTAGTTTTACATGCAATGCACAGCAAGACTGTGGATACACATGCTCCTCATTGTTTATGATTATGGTAATAATAATAATAATGAATTATTTTATTTTATTATTATTTTTTATTTGGGGGGGGGGGGGTAGTATTGTATTTACCAGCAAAAGAAAAGGTGCTTGCAGGAATCACTATGAATAGAATTAAAGCATGGAACCTCTAACTAATAGATTCCATTGATTTTGTCAAATTTTGAACCCACACATAGCCTTTGTTTAACATTTTGTCTCACAACAATCTCTCTGTTATTTACCACAACATTTTAACTGATTGCTGCTACCCACTGGCAATAGCTATAGGGTTGATTTGGTGTGCAAGGACAACATGTGTTGATAATGGCTGTTACCTACTAACACTACTAACCATTCCCTCATGATTAGAAGCTGTAAAGTGGGGTCAAAGGTCATGATCGGTAACTGTGTGACCAATCTAAGACAAATTATAAATAACGACTATAATACACAAAAAAAACTTGAGTGATAGGGATAAGCGTTTTGCACCGAGATCACTGAATATATAATCACTGGCAATCTCAGACAAAGCAACACTACATTCGTGCCACTCCCCTTAAGGAAGTGAAGTTTTACAAGCTCATTCCTGTTAAATAACAAATGTGGTAGTCACGACTCTTTTAGGACTGTCACTGGTCACTGGCGCGTTTGAATAAGATTTTGAAAAATCTAGTACAAGTTAAGCTTAAGTTTAGTTAAAACTTAAGCTTAAGCTTAAGCCTAAGTTGAACCGAATTACCCCACATGACAACTCTTCTGTGTGTTTAAAAGCTCACCTCAACGATGAAATTCCAGAATGGATGCGTTATGTAGATTGATATAGGCGAAGTATCTTCTGATTTGTACTACACAGATGCAAAAAAAATAGAATATCACTACAAACTTCTGAAAAGTTTCCGCGCGATTGATCACCTTCAAAATTCAAATAATCTCAAGCTTGACACACTTACTTTGTATTTGTCAAAACCTTTCAGTTCTTCAGGAGTAAGATACCTGCCTTTCATTCCCTCAAAGTCTGCAGTTTGCAGTCTGTGATAAGAAGACGATTTTTCCTTCAGAGAGGAAAGATCTTTTGAATCAGGCGGCATATTTCCTAGGGAGATGGTCGAAAAACTGAATGTTGTAATCAGTTTCTTTGCCGCGTTGGACACTGGGACTGACCGACCAATTTATACACCTCGCTACACCTCGCTATTAAAACGCACGCGCGTGACAGCTGACCCTCGCGCGCACGCTCTAACCCAATCTGCGATCAGGCCGTCCTTCTGGAGGCGAGGGTAAAAGATTCTTTTTTCCCCTTTCCCCAAAAGAAAAACAAAGCCCTGATCGCAAGTTAGCTCTAAACACGTTCTAGGGGAAGAAGGTTTAGCGCATAATTGAATGCGGCACGTTTGTATTGTTTTTTTTTTTTAATAGGTGAAGCTACAAGCCAGAAACCGATTTATCCAGTTCTGTCACCCTCTATAACAACAACTCTACCGACCTCTCTCTGTCGGAGACGCACAGACGGGAAAGCCCGTACGCCAGCCTCGAATATTCACCCCTCCCCGCCTCCCTAGCCTCTCTCCAAACCCCCTTCCTTTTTCCCTTTTTCCCTTCCCGAACCCTTTTCGACGCCTCCCCGCCTCTCCGCCTCCCACACTTCGTGAACATTCAATAACTCCAGCCAGCAGTATTACCAAAACAGGAAGTTCGAGCGCATCTTTGCCTTTGCCCGCGAGTTTTGTGCTCATGTGAAATCGAGAGCTTTTAAGTCTTTCATCTGTGGGGCCGTATAGTTACAATAGCCATTTGTGTATATTTTTTCTCAAAAGAACATGGGAGCATACTTGGCGAAGCCAAAAACAGAGAAGATATCTGATGGTAGCGAAAACGGAAGGCTGCGTTATGGAGTTTCATGCATGCAGGGTTGGCGAGTCACGATGGAGGTAAAAATTATCACAAAGCTGATATTACAATGTAAGACTTCACTCAAGTAAAACAAATTGTGTTTGTTTCGCTATTTAACCCATCCACTCCAGCGTTCCAAAGGAAGAACATGCACATGTTATTTGGCAAAGGGCTGGAACGTTAACTTTGTATTAAAAAGATAACAGTTGAGCTTGATTGCGATCATTTGATCGTACACATAAGCTTGAAGTTTTTATACGAAATGGGCTTTAACGGGCAGGTAGATGGCTGTCAGCATGGTGTTGATTTTGAGAAGGTACATACACGATATTTTGTAGCGAAGAAAATATGCAGACTCTAAGCTGTTTTATAGTGATAAAAAAGCAACTATTACTTCTAAGGTTCTAATAATCGTCTTTTGAATAATCGATTTGATTTTTTCAATTTTTAGGATGCTCATACTTGTGAGCTGGATTTTGACGACAGTTCTACTCTTTTTGCGGTTTATGATGGTCATGGAGGTAGATTTCTTAAAAAACTGCTAAATGATATTTTCATTAACTATCTAGTGTCTGCAAACACCTCATCACGCTTTATGAATGTACGGCAACTGCAGTTCATGTCTGTGAAATCAATGTAATCAAATACGTGCAAGCTACAGAATACAGGGCCTCCTTTGAGAATTTATCATTTCAAGTGTCCTGACAGCTCACCATTAACACTTGATTAATTAAGTTGCACGGTGGCTCGTCAGTCATGACTGGCTAGCTGTTGTGCTTGCATTAGAATATTATATACCTTTCTCATGAGTCCCTGTCCATAACCAATGAGTCCCAGTTTTAAAAAACGCTGTGGCTATATGGCCGGTAACCAGTCAAGGTTTTCGAAACACTAAATGGCCGGCAGTCCTATATTCTCAGTAAATTTCACAAAATGGAGAGATTCTAGCGAATCTAAACTATCATATGTCGATTAAGACATGTACATGTCAAGCGATCCTGAAATGCTTTATAGATCTCAAGTCTAGTGTTTGGTTTACGCTGGGCTCAGAAGATGAAACCGTGTTTTGTGACACTTAGAACTTTTTTCAGCTCGACTGCTAGTCAAGGTTTTCAAAACACTAAATGGCTGGCAGTCCTATATTCTCAGTAAATTTCACAAAATGGAAAGATTTTAGCTAACCTAAACTATCATATGTCGATTAAGGCAAGTCAAGCGATCCTGAAATTCTTTAATAGATTTCAAGTCTAGTGTTCAGTTTACTCTGGGCTCAGAAGACGAAACCGTGTTTTGTGACACTTAGAACTTCTTTCAGCTCAACTGCCGGTCAAGGTTTTCAAAACATTAAATGGCCAGCAGTCCCATATTCTAAGTAAATTTCATAAATTAAAAAAATTCAGCTGTTCTGAACTATCATAAGTGGTGATCCTGATCAAACCAGCCAGTTTTGTGGGATTTCTAAATCATGTTTTTGTTGGTCTCGAGTCTTTGGATGTCCGTTACTATTTTCTGTCCAAAGCATGGCGTGACAGTCAACGTTTGACGTCATAACTTCTTGACCTTTCGTACGGCCTCCGCGGAAAACCAGCAGAAAAAGTCTTCACTCAGGGGCGGATCTAGGGGGAGGGTGCAGGGGTGCACACCCCCCTGAGATGACCTGCGGTTTTCTAATACAACTGGTATTCTGCAGAAAAAAAACTATGTGGTTTATCGGTGTTGAAGTAGAGCAAGAGATGAGTGCACCCCCTCCTAAAAAAAGTTCTGGATCCGCCCCTGCCACTGCTTCTGGAAAACACTAGACTTGAGATCTATAAAGCATTTCAGGATCACTTGACTTGTCTTAATGGACATATGATAGCTCAGATTAGCTTGAATCTTTCCATTTTGTGAAATTTACGAGCTGAAAAAAGTTCTAAGTGTCACAAAACACGGTTTCGTCTTTTGAGCCCAGTGAACCCAGCGTAAACCAAACACTAGACTTGAGATCTATAAGGTGTGTCAGGATCGCTTGACTTGTTTTAATCCACATATGATAGTTTAGATTAGCTAGAATCTTTCAATTTTGTGAAATTTACCGAGAATATGGGACTGCCGGTCACCGGCCATATAGCCACAGCGTTTAAAAACCAACAAGTCCTAAACTGAAAATGCTTGGTTCTTTATGTAACCAGACAGTTAATCTAAAGACAGACTTCAGAACTCTTTATACAGTTTACTGAAATACAGAATATACTCCATCTATTCAATTGTAAAGCAAAACAAAGACTAAAAGAAAATAATATGGACCCTTAAACAACAGCCACAGAAATCACACGAACAGGCTGGCAAAAACATCTTCAGATCAATCTATCTATCTTTACATCCTACGGGATGCATGCCATGAATTATTTTGTGTCGGCGATTTTTGTGTCAGGGACGCAGGACGCAGAGGTAACAAAATCACTGGCTTCTTGTCCAACAAATTTACCTCCCAATCATTATATCAAATGTTACAAACAGCAAAAATGAACTTTTAAAAACTGTTAGTGTAACTGTTACAGTTCTCTTCAAATTTGACCATCTTTGCCTCCTGTTATAATTTTTATTTGCTGGGTCATTTATTTTACACCATCTTTTTATGTATTGAGTGGTTATGGTTATCTCATAAATTTCGTGACACATCTCCTTTAAAGCAGCTGTTTTATAATTTCATGATATCTCAGGTTCAGAAGTAGCCCAGTATGTAGCAAAGAAACTGCCAGAAGTGCTAAAGAACACAGAAAATTATCAGAAAGGAGATATTAAACAGTCAATGGTGGATTGTTTCTTGGAAATTGACCAGCTCATTATCAGTGAAAAGGTCAGCTGTTAATATTGTAAGGAAGTTAACTCTCAACCTGTGCAAGATAAAGAAATTCTGTTAAACCTCCAGCTCACTTGGGAGAGTGGAAGATGAATTCTGAGGACAGTAATTGTCATTTTCATCTTACCTTAAACTGCCACTTTTTAAGCCCTGGGCTTATAAATCTTTGTAAGGGGGTTTTAGGAGGGCATATAAATGGAGGGGCTTACACTGTATACCCGAGAGGGTTCATAACTGGAATAGAGAAAGTGCTTTGAAACAAGCTGTAGCAGTGATGATTAAAATACGTTTTGCACTTACTGGTTTTTAATAGGCTTCAAAACATCATAATAATTCAAATTGACGTTGATACATGTGGAGGGGGGTCTATATTTGGATGCATTTTTTTGATTACAGGTAGACGGGTCTATAACTTGGGAGGCTTATAGGTGGGGAGTTTTTAAGCGGCTGTTTTCAGTAGTTGGAGCCAGGATTAAATATATTTTTTAATTATGCAGTTTGTATAAGTGTCTAATAATGGAGTGTCCATTTTTTCAGGGTCTTGCAGAGTTGAAGGAGTTGGCAGGACTTGATAAGGATCTGGATGAGGAAGAAGACCTTGAGATGTTAGAACAAGAAGCAATGATGCCACTGAATGAGCTGCTGGCAAAGATGAAAGAGGTTAGTGAGTAGCGCTGAGGAAAAAAGAAAAAAGCATGACAGGTTTTTAGTGAATGAATAAAGGATTTGGTTTCTATAGAAACCGTGGTGTAGTATCAATGGAGGAGTGAACCACAAAAATTTGGTTTTATTAGATGAGTTGAGGGTAGCTATTCTGACCAAGGGTTAGTGCTCAGTTTTCTGATCCTATCCTGTGTTATCTTTGTGCTGTTTTAGGACCTTAATTCATCTTTTTTTAAGTTCTGAGTCTAAAAGTTTGCATGCAATATTGCTTGCAATGAATGCAACACTCCATCCATTTAGGTAATCAAGCCACCTCAAGAGCAAGTCATTTTGAGTTCGTAATGTCACAGGTAGCCCAAGCTCACTATCCTACTAAGCTAAGCTACTCTTATTCATACAGCAACAATTTCTAAGACGTAGTATGAGAATTACCCTATTTCTCCTTAATTGAGTGAAACGTGCATAAAGTTTTTGCTTTTAAGCTTGCATTAAGTATTTTTTAAGTGTTTATCTGTGTGTTGACTGCGTTTCAGACCTCTTGGGATGTCAAGAACCCGAGAACAACACTACCCTTCTAAGCTGATTAATTTTTCATACAGCAAGAAAATTATAAGGCGTTGTATGAGAAATATTCTTTGCTCACTAAATTAGCAAAATGTGCATTGAATATCGCTTTGAAGCTTACCTTTAGCCAGGGTTGTCATTAAGAGCCGGGGGCCGGGGATTTTCCCCGGCTACTAAGAGAGTGGCCCCCGGCTTTTTGTTTTTAGAACCAAAAGAAATTAGTGTTCTTGAAATCTTAGTGACAACCCTGCTTTAGCGTTTTCTTGTTTTTCTTAGTGTTCTGACTGCATTTCAGACCCCGGGGGGAGGACTCCCATATGAAACAGACGGGGATGCTCGTCGGAAATTTTGAATTTAACCCCTAAAGGAGACCATCTGGGCGTAGCTCAAGCTTTTTGTGACCCCTAAAGGAGACCAAAGACATAAAGACATAATCATCCAATGCTTTTATCTAAAAGTAGTTTTTAAAAGCATTGTCATAAATCTCAAGTTCTTCGCAGAACCCTAAACGAGACCTTGGCAGCTTAAAATATTGGCACTTTGCCCGGAACACCCTAAGCGAGACCAAAATCCAAAATTTACACCCCTAAGCGAGACTACGAACATCCCCGTCTGTTTCATATGGGAGTCCGCCTCCCCGGGTTTCAGACCTCCTAGGCACTGTTTGATGCCTTTTTTAAACAACAGTTTTTTACCCAGATGACAGTAGAGAGAAAAGAAGAAAAGGTTGGCAAACCTCTATTGACCGGGTCCGCTCTCAGTAGCGATAAATTCCGCCAGAAACAGATGTTCTGATAAATAATGCACATTTTCCATCATTCACATTGCCAAAATTCGCTCAATTTTAGAGTAATAGGATAATTCTCATACAACGTCTTATAAGTTGTTGATGTATGAATAATATTAATTAGCTTAGTAGGACAGTGAGCTTGGGCCACCTGTGGTAATATACCCGATGGTGGAAACAACATGAAGTGTTTTCATCGTTAATTCCATAAACAGTCCGAAGATCCTTGTTACTTTCAGTTTTCAACCCTCTCATGTGGTGCCAGTTTCTAGTTTTTACTGAAATTTCTTTGTGTACATGTGCTTGATGGTTAGTGCCTTGGATTCCAGATTGGGAGGTCTGAGTTTGTCTTTGTGTTGTGTTTTTGGGCAAGACACTTTATTTTCACAAGGCCTCACTTCAGCCAGGCCCCAGTTGTTCAAACATTGGATAGCGCTATCCATAGGATAAATCAATATCCAGGGCTTGATATGAGTCTCGTCCAGTAGTCTGGGACAAGAAGATTTTCTCGCTGGGCAAGTAACGTTGGAAACTTACTTTCTCAATAAGGGTCCAGGCAAGATATCCTCCCACCAAATCATTAACTAAGACAAGCAAGTAGTTGCCCGGGCAGGCAAAATGTAAGAGCTGCTTGCCCAAAGGACAAGCTAGAATTTAAGTTTTTTTCTGCCCTGCTATTTAATGGATAAGTATTAGGGAAGCAAATTGCTTTATCCAGTGGATAGCATTATCCATTCTTTGAACAACGTGGGCCAGGTGTATAAATGGGTACAATGGGCTGGAATCACATCTAGGGGAAAGTAGACATATTCTTAGTTACATCGTGCTACAGAAACTGAGATATAAGCTTCAGCCTGGTGAACAACTGAGTTTGATTACGTCAGCATTACCCTTTACCTCAACTGTAAGTATTATAGTAAACACAGCAAACAAAGAGCTCAGATCATGCATGAAGTGGTTGCTTACAAGAGGTTAAAAACAATGGAAAGTTATAAAACTGTCTCCTCAAAAAGTGGGCTCAGTGACTTGTGAGGGGCACTCTTTTATGAGAGGTTCCAACTATTAGCCTTTACTGGGAAAATGTTTTACAAACTAAGGGACTCTCAGTCATATATGGGAGGATGGTTCTTGTGAGAGGTGGTCGCACATGGAGGTTTAACTTTGTTTTTCTTTACTCTATTATAATATGAAGGTTGTTGTTGTTTTTTTCCAATGTCTGTTTTTCTGATGTGGCAGATGAAAAAGGCAAAAGATGGTGACAATGACGGAGAACTTTTAGAACAGTGGACAGAGGATGGGAATCAAAGTACAGCTGATGATAAAGAAAACAATCATTGTGACACCAATAAAGAGAATGAAATTGGTATGTACACTGTATGGCAAGAGAACCTCCAGTAAACTGCTAGTAAACCAGTAGCTTTTGTTATCAGTGGACTAATGGTAATGACGATACACCTGTATATTGACAGTATGGTGTGTCATTGATAAAATAGGATTTGTCTGGCATGGACTTTCCTTCAAATTTGGGTGATCAACATCTAATTTCAAGAGAAAAAAATCCCAGCGGCATTGATGGTAAATTAGTTTACTATCAGCTCTCTTTAGTTCCTGGTAGTATCAGTTGTTGGGAAGCTATTTGCCTCTTAAGGGTGATTTTGTTAACTCTGCGTCCTACGTCCCCGATGCATAAAAGTTCAAGGCGGTGAAATTTGCTCATCTGACCCTGACATAGTCATGCTTAGGGGCCATTTGTATTTGCTCTGTGTCTATTTACATTGAGTATTTCAGCCGTTTATTGAGTGATGCAGCACATAAAATATAATAAATATTATTTAATAATTAAATGATATTGGCTAGGTGTAATTTTGAGCAATGTTAGTGCCAAATCAATGTTGCCTGTGGTTTCACTCATTTTTGCATGTGACCTGCAGTGCACCCCTGGAGTTTGCAAGATAGTTTTTGTGCATCTTGTTTTGTGCTCAAGTTGCTTTACATTCCAGCGATTATTGTGGATCAATGCTCTTGTGGCAGACTGTCAAACTATGTGAAACTGGTTTACAAGTTGTCAGTCCATAACCAAGTTTTGAAATCTCCAGATATCTTGCAAATCATTGGCTGAACTGGGGAAAATTCAGGAAATGCTAACATTTGGACACTATTCACAAAGTTTAACTTGTTTTCATCATTTTCTTTAGGCTCTAAGAATGATAAAAAGGATGAAGCCATTATAGAAAATGGTGACACGATAAAAGCTGGTACGTGTAGCTCAGATTCAGTTGAGAACTCCACCAATGGAAGTTTGAAAAATGGAAAGGAGGAAAAGGAGAAAGATACAGAAGAAAGTGAAAATGATCACAAAATGCAGCAAAAAGAAGTCAAGGAAACCAGTGAAGGTGAGCAGGCAACAAATGAAAGCGAAAAAAATGAAGAAAAGATTCCTAATGATGAAGCTATTGATGATGAAGAGGAAGAAGGTGATGAAGATGACGAGGAGGATGATGATGAGGATGATGATGATGATGATGATGATGACGATGACGAGGATGGAGCACCATTTCAAAGTTCAGATGAAGTGAGTATTGTTGCGCTAACAAAAAAGTTGTCATAACCTTGAATTTCAAGTGTAGTGGGGTCAGGGGCAATATTTTACTTGTATCGAGGCATTAAGATACCAAATTTATAGGACTTAGTGACGCATGATTTTCTTTTATATTGGTGTGTACTCATCTGCATATGTACGTATAATTTATGAGAACACAAATAGTGAATTCCCTTGGGAACATCACAAGACCTGTATTGAGGGCGTGGAAGCATACAGGGAGTGGCCAGGCCAAACTCTGGGTATGCCACTTATGGCTCCTGATCCAAGCTAAAGTGATCCACCTCCAAAATGGTGGCAGATTTAGTTGTTCTTTTTGTTTTGATGATAATTGGCCCCCAATGAATCCTTTCAAAGTGAAAATTCTTTTGAATTCTGCAGATGCAATCGAGGCAAAGGGGGCTTTTATCATAGAAAATATAGCTCCAAAATACTAGGAAATCGTGAGAAATAGAACAAAATCATTCAATTTATTCAGTTTCTTGCTGGAGTAACAAGAGTTAGCGCATTACATCTTGTTCAATATCAAGGTTACAGTTAGCATTCTGCCATCAAAGTTGAGCTTTAAAAAAATAAATGGATCTCTGAACCACCTTGACGTATCAACGAATGGACTGGATAGTCTTCTGTTTATTAACTGTAGGGATATATTCACCGAAAGCATAATAGTTTTGTGGAGTTTGATACAATTATAAGAATGAACTCCTCTTATCTATTAAATGCTCTCTCTTGGGCTCCTAAAATTAAATTATCTCCCGGGCATCTATTGTACCATTTATGGTACCTCAACGTTCTCACATATTCAAACAAAGCTTTGGATGATGTGAGTATACTTTGTCTAAAAAGTGATCCGAAAGTGGCTTTCGTTTCTCTAATTGGAAGCTTTTTTGCATAAATCTAAACCTCATCAGTATATTTTTTCTTGATCTTTGTAGGTTGGCTACGACAGTGGAACTACAGCTATTGTTGCTGTCTTACGTGAAAATCAACTAACGGTTGCCAATGTTGGAGATTCGCGCTGTGTGCTTTGTCGGAACGGCATTGCTCTAGAAATGTCCACGGATCACAAACCTGAAGATGAACATGAGCTGAATAGAATCCATAAAGCTGGTGGAAAGGTTACTTGTGAAGGAAGAGTAAATGGGGGTTTAAATTTATCAAGAGCTCTAGGTATGTGGCTTGATTTATTGCAAGGCTGTCGCGAAGGAGGTTTCACTGGGGTTGGGTAACCATAGCAACTAAAAGAGAAATCTCGACCTCTTCTTTTTAACCCTTGCAAGTTGCAACACTCAGCTGCAAAGCCTGGCGTTATAAACGTCGTTTCAAAAAGTCGTTAATAATTCATAAAGAAGACGAAAAACAAAATAATGTTTAATGAGCGATAAAGACACGGCTAAACGTTACGTCCAATTTTTTGGCCAAAATAACGCCAGTTCTAAATATTAGTCCAAGAATGAGTTGATCTATATCAGAGATTTTGAAGGCGTTCAAAAAACGAGCAGGAGTGTATTATCAGGTTTAAAAAAAACTCGAGGCGAAGTCGAGAGTTTTAAAACCTGGTAATACACTTCTGCTCGTTTTTTAAACAGTACACAACGCTCCTGTATATACTGTACACGTTACAGACAACAGTTTAAGTTACTTGACTTTTATTCGACTTTTTTCAGGTGACCATAGCTATAAACTACAAACAGAGTTATCTGCGCATGAGCAGCAAATCACAGCAGTCCCGGATGTTAGACAAACACAAATTACAGAGTAAGTCAAGTCGGATTTCCATCGCATTGTTTTTCTTGAACCTGTCCTTTTTTTGCGACTAACTAGTAGTCAACATATGATTACAATGCGGACGAAGAGGAAAGCTTTGTCATCTACAGGCTAAGACAAAAGGTGACTCAGTCTGCATCTGCCTCAACGAATGTGCAAAAGACTGCTTTTCAAGGAAAAGAATTTTCAGCCATCCCAAGCGTTTTACCCCGACTTTATTCAAGTCGTTAAGGAAGCCAAGGATTGCTTTCGGAAACAGACCGGTAGAGTTTTGTCAGCCCTTTGTAATTCTTGTGTGTGTTTGTCTAATTTTTTTTCTTTGCGGTGAGAACCGTAAGCTTGTGAATAGCGAACGTTTTGCCAGTCGAGGGAGCGACTATGTTTTGGTATAATGCAAAATTATGATGTAATGTTGAAACAGAGTTTAACATTAAAGGGGTGCTTGCGAGTCCATGATGGGTCTTGAGAGTGGCTTTTAAACTGAATCCTAAATGTCCAGACCGCAGTCTCTCATAAACTCTCGTTATGGTCGTGCTAGTTGTTCCTCCTTTGGCCATCTTCCGTTTTCTTTTCGAGTTTTTCCACTGAGCAGTCCTGGGTGTAAAATGACTCATCTTTATAAGCTTGTGTTAGGGTAAATGCCTAGCCGAGGTTGCACGGTTACTAACACCAAACATTTCTGTTTCAGGGCTGATGAATTTATGGTTATTGCTTGTGACGGCATATGGTAGGTAAATCGTCTTCAATAAACTTTCTTTCAGATCGCAGACGTTTACGCCGATGTAACGATTCTGTTGATTGCTATCTTCTCGAATTATGTATCATAAGAAGATGTATCTACAATTTGTAGCTGTCCAGTTAGAACGAAAATTTTCGTTTGAATATTTACAATTTCCATTGGAATCAATTTCTTAACCGTAAAAGAAAGTTCAAGACACTCGCCGAATTCAAGCATTAGGTTTATTAGTTTTTTATTTTTATTGTTCCCCCTCAACTAAGTGCCATCTACTTTTGAAACAAGTGACCTAACGATTCATGAGAGAGATTGATTTCTGAAAAGTACCTCCGATGCAAGTAGCAGTATAGGACGCCTGTTTCAGTCCTTTCTTGCGTATTAACCAACTTTTTTCACCCTACAAGCAGTACCTTTCTTTCATTTGCTCTATTTTGGTGTACCCGAGAAAGACTGAATGAATCGAGTAAGATCTTTGTGAAGCATGCACTGCGTGTTGCTAGGATGCAGTTTCGTAAAACAGTTTCAAACCCAAGCGTAATAGCCGTGAGCTTGGTACAGTTAGGACTATCGGTTTAGCAATAAATGAATGCGTGCGCTCACAAAAACCAGTTTGACGAGAGCAAACAAGATTGACAAGTTCAGAAGGTCAGGCAGAGGCTCTGATGGCAGGGTGCTTTCTTGTGGAGTGAATTAGCGTCTATATACTCCTTGGGGATGCATTGGTTTCTGCGGTGTAGTTGTACGCAAAATTCTTGGACTTTTTTCAGTACTTTTAATATTTTTGCAATGAACAATAAGTGGTATTTTGTCCTGATTCGTAAACTCTTTTAAACGACAGGAATGTGAAAGGAAGTCAGGAAGTGGTGGACTTTGTATCAGATCGTCTACGAGAACAAAGACAGAAAAATCAGATCAACCTTGCTCAGATTTGTGAAGAGGTAAATGTGTCAGTTCTCGTCAAAAGGCCTGTCAGACCTTTTGCAACAGTTGACGGTATTAAGTGTCTCCTTACCCATTATACGTCTCAAAGTTTCTATTGTGATTAATGTTTTATGTTCTTTCTAGCCTTCCTTATAATAAAGCGCCCTTTTCTTTTGAAAGAGGTTAATGATAGATATTTTAAGTAAGTGGCAAGGCCTTGTCAACTCCATAAAAAAGCTTTTACTTTAAGGTTGAAACCTGCATGAAATTTCTCCCGTGAAAATTAGCGTTGTTGCTAATCTAAACATGCCCTTTTCATTATCTTTCCAGTGAAATGAAGAACTTGAAAATATAGCTTGAAGTTTTTATTTTTCATTTGGTCACGTGAGCAACTAACGTCAAAGGCCTGCGGATTATAGAATGTTTGCGCTTCTTGTGACGGTATTCTTAGGTCCAGTTCAAACGTCGATCTTTTCATGTGCCGAACTTAATACCAATTTTGGTCGACCCAAATGATACAAGTTTGACGGTTTATTGAGACGTCGAACTCAATTAGTCGGACCCAATTCATTTTCACGATGTTCAATGGTCTACAATGCTTACCAGTCAAAGTAAATTTTAGTAATTTATGCATTAGATTCAGCAACATGAGAAGTTCGACGTTTGAAACGAATTCGCCTCTTAGTCGAAATTCCCATGTCGGCCACTCGATCTTAATTCATAGGTTGACCCAAATTAGACATGTCGATCTCTTCAAGTACTTTATTGAAGAGGTTAGGTTCGGTACATGAAAAGGTTGTTGTCGTTTGAACTGGGCCTTAACGCCATTCCTAAGCATTCTCGCAATGTTTGTTTGCAGGGTCAAACAGTCAAAACATTCCCACAGCATTTACCGCGGTTATTCGAACAAGCGCCGCATGTAAGAGCAAAATCGAAGCTTGACTTTTGGCTACTAAGATTTTTTGCTTTTGTTTGTTTCCTTAGTTGTTAGATGCTTGTTTAGCACCAGACACGAGTGGAGATGGTTCAGGTTGTGATAACATGACGTCTATTGTGGTATTGTTTAATTCTGACTCCAAAGCGACAGAAAACAACAAGAAACGCAAACTGGAAGATGAAAAACCGGACAGCGAATCCGCAGACAAGCGGATCAAAGGAGACGAATCCTAATATTGTTATTCTATGATTATTATACGCACCTGTACAGAGACGTTTTAATATTATTTAGACCACACTCATCTCAGGCCATCCTTCTGGTCCCCTCTTACTCATTCCTGTTTACAGTCGTATCGGGGCAAACCTACCCCCATAGATTCCAGTAATGAAGTGATTATTGATCATTCAATCCGATAGTCGTTGTAGATATCAGAATTGTTTCCGCATTCCTGCATGGGCAATGAGGAACGAATTTTAGACTTGCAGCTTCTCAACATTCGATCTGATGGAAAAATCTTGAGTTTTTCCTGATTGAGGATCATAGTTTTGAATAGATAAAATTCAGAGTAACAAATTCAAGGAAACGGACAATTCTTTCACTACTTCGCTTGTGAATTCACTGCTCATGAAGCATACAGGATGCAGAGATGAATCTATAGGGATAGTCTTGACCTGGCTTGAATATAAGCTGATTCCAGCTGTTATGTTTAAGGAAGATGAGTGTATGTCCCCGCAGTTAAAGTGTGAGCTAATTGTGAATTTATGTTCGCTTCTCAACAAGCAAACCCAGCACAAACCTTCCCCTTACGTTTATCAAGCGATCTGAGTCTTGCTATAACTTGAAGAAATAGCGCCCGAAATTCGGCGTTTAGTAGAATCCTTTGTGTCTGTAAGATGGTAGCCTGAGAAAACAGCCGATATTCCGTCTGAGAAACTACAGCAGAAATTTGACCGACTTTGACGTCTGAGAAGCGACTGCAGAAATTCCATACTGATGACGTGTCTTCACCCAGATCTGGGTAGTGCTTTTGATTGGTCGTGGCGCGAGGGAAATTGCTTCAACCAATCAGAAGCACTACGCAGATCTGGGGAGTAACACGTCATCATTATGCTAACTTCCACCCTCGTTTCTTAGACTTCATTTCGAGGGGAAACCAGTGACCGCTTAGTTCTGGGTTATACCAACGACGGAAGAAAAGGAACAGCAGTGATGGATCTAGTGATGGGGGAGCGTTTGCGGAAAAGTCGGCCCGCCCTAAATCCACCCATCAATCCAAATGTTATGTTTCCAGTAGTTGACCCATCCTCGGAGACCCAGGGACGATCAGTCGGGTCGGGATAAAAGACGGTGAAAGTTTTCAAGAACGGGCGAGAGAGCCCCTGCGATGCTATTCAACGACTCATTCGAATACTTGTCTCTGATTATTTTTGTGGCCAATCGGAGGCCAGCATCTATGGCGCTGCTTTCGTGATCTTCTTATACGAGGGACTTATTATCTGCAAACTCGACTGTACGCCTTACCTCTCTGGCTGGTGCAGGAGAGCTTTCTTCAAAAAGAGTTTTCAGCGAAACTGGGGCCCACAAAACCGAAGAGATCCCAAAACAATTTCTCTCCCGGTCAAGCCTGAATTTTTTCAGGTTCTTTTTCAACCACTTAGGTTTTCATTCAATTGCGAAGATCATGTTCACTTTCATATAATTTAGCGTGCAAAACAAAACAAGACAAAAAATGCACCAACTAAAGAAATAAGACTGTGAACAGATCGAAGGTAAATTCGTAAACACCAGAGTACTTCTAGACTTGGTCATGCAACTCTTGGTCCGCCGTGACAAGCAACTTTCATACAGCAAGCAGCAGCTGTTGTTTTTTTACTTTGACGAACATTTCCTCGGCTTACTTTTTAAAGTACCACGCAGCTCACCGGAAGTTTTTCTGTTAGTTTTTTTTTTTCAGCTAGAAAATCAGGTTTTCCTCTCCACTTAATCCTCTTCGTCTTCCATTTTTCGTCGGCTCAATGTCCGACGTTCATCTTCAGAGCGTCACGATCTGAAATAACGCCTGCCAAGGAGGAAGCACCGTTGATTTAGTCATTCATTTTTGATATAGTCATTCATGTTTCCTTGTGGATTTCCAGGGGTTTTATCGGGGTAACTTGCCTGTCCATATAATTTCTCATATAGTCACCCTATCTATCAAGTCAACGTGATCAAATTTTTTTAAAAATGAGAGATAGTTTGGCAAGGCGGGTTACCCCACCTAAGCGAGCTACCTCACCTACCTGGGGTTCCCCACCTCCAGGTAAACAGGCCGTTTAAGAAGTCCAAGCCTGCGTGGCAGGCGGCGGTTAGGGAGCTTGAGCAGCGACGTTTTTGAGCGACGCACATCAACCGGAAATGGACTTTTTGCACTCTTGAGCCGTGATTTTGAACAAATTTTTGGGCAGATCGTTTCTGTAAGAATTAAGACACTTGGCAATACAGATATGGTAGCGTCAAGGCTTATTAAAAGAGAAAAAGGATCACTTCCGGTTGACGTGCGTCGTTCAAAAACGTCGCTGCTTAAGCTCCCTATTAAGACACTTGGCAATACAAATATGGTAGCGTCAAGGCTTATTAAAAGAGAAAAAGGATCACTTCCGGTTGACGTGCGTCGTTCAAAAACGTCGCTGCTTAAGCTCCCTAATAGCGGAGCTCTCGCGCCTGAAGCGCGCGCAGCGGAGCACCATGGGTAAGAAAATGTGGTAATCACGTGAACGTACACCGACCGTCCGTCTGCACCACAGGCATACCAATGTAAAATAACTCAATCAACAGGTATGGCAACCCAAATGCAACTCGAGGTTATTTTGACGGGAAATCGCATAGCCACCCGCGTCTTGTAAAGTAGAAGCAACTAAAGAGTCAGTGAAGAGGAAAATGGAAAGCGGAAATTGTCTCTGTATCCGTGTTTTCTAAAGTATTAAGCTTAGATTGATCGTCATGTCCAACAAATTTGGAATATAGAGCGAGAGAAACACAGAGAAAAAGAGAAAGTAGGCGGCAGGCTGGCGAAGCGCAACGAGAAAAAGGGCGACAGAGATTTAGAGTGAGAGATAAAAAACAAAGTAGACATTTTTTTGTTGGAAGAACAACATGAAAATTTTGTAACGGCGGTGACAAAATGAGAAATGCTAGCGGTCACCAATGCAAGATGAAAATGAGCGGCAGTGAAAAAAAAGTGAACGAAAAAAACGTGTAACTAAGACCCTCTTTACATGAAGTGGGGGACCCCGGTCTAGTGGGGTAAGTTTCTTTTGTTTTGTGTCCCCCAGAGCGTGAAAACAAAAGAAACTTACCCCACTAGACCGGGGTCCCCCACTCCATGTAAACAGGCCCTTAGAAGTCTCGCGTTGTAGTCGTGTAAAACAACGGCAAAGAAATGTACAAAAAAAACGTGTGCTGCACGTGCAAAGTTGCTTTTTTGCTAATTAGACCTATTGTTTTTCACCGTTCTCCGGCGTTGCCTTTTCCGCTTAGCATTACATGATTTTATATTTTATGAATGTTGTCGAGAGCTTCGCTTCTAACCCTGGCTAAATCTATATATTATTTTTTGTTAGGTTTTACATAGCGCTCAAGGGGAACACGCGGAAAGGAGAGGAGGCCTCCTCTTCTCTCCTTTTTTCCCGTCGTTCGCGCGCCTTCTCTAGATTTCTCCCATCACCGCTTTGGCCTTCACCCTAATAAAACCGGCGCCTGCTTCGTCTGATCATAATATATCATACTGAACGATAAACAATTTTTTTAAAAAAGTTCTTTTTTCGTTTGTGCATCAATCACGACCTAAATCTGGAATTCCGATTGTAAGGCCTTTCATTTTGAACAACCTGCGGGCATAATAAATGAAAAAAAAATGAAGCAAATTTCAAATGAATGTGAAAGTTTACAGGCTTAATTCTTGACAATATGTTTAAATACTATAAAGATATATACGAAGGAGATATTGCTTTGATTCAGTACGTGCCCCCAAACTGGCAACGTTTCACTGCGTTACTGGGTTACTGCGTTACATGCATCAACCTCTGGTGGAACCCAGTCTAGTACGCGGTCAAATTGAGTCTTGTATCAGAGTTCGTGCTTGATGTCACGATTGGAAGATGGTTGTAAATTCTCTTCTACAGGAGGTTAGTTCGCCAGCGCAAGTTTTCTTCTTTCCCAGTCACTTGTGGATTAATAGTTGGGTGCGTGATTGTTAATGTTAATTGCATGTTGTTCCCAACGTAACAAAAAGAATTTTAGAATTTTGATCGTGTACTTCGATCAAAGAATATGACAGGCTGTTTTTTTTCCGTTCCTTTAAATGGACATTCGTAAAACGTAGAGTTCAAAAGTGAGCCTAGTTCGTTTTGCTAATACGTTAACGGTATATTGTCAGGTCGTTCAAGTATATTTAGCGCTGGCTTCAGTAGGTCGTTATTTGGTGTTAGATGAAGAAAGTCGACCTATTGAAGGTGGCTCGATACAGTTTTTTAGAGTGAATACCTCCTACGTTTGAGCGTAAACTACGTCGCCATAAACAAAGGTTTGGAAAAATTAACACCACAGTTGTATTAGATAAAGATGAAACTTTGTTATGATCAGGGTTGCGATGACATCGTAGTTGTCATGGCAACGAAATAACGCCATTACCCACTTTACTTGCGGCAGTATTTCTCGGCACTGGGAACTGTTCTTCCAAAATCGTTTGCTGGAGCTTTTTCCTACAATACACAGGAAACTTTTTTAGATTCCCATTTGGGAATTTTATGGGACTTTTTCCCACTACTGTGAAAAACCTGGGACAGGAAATTCCTTGTATGGGAAAATATTGGGAGGTTGATACCTCGCATGATTACACAAATGGGTTTTTTCTGGGGAAAAGGTTCCACTTTACTATGTATCCCAGGACTGGGAAATCTTGTGAATGCTTTCCCATGTTATTCCCAATCTTGGAAATATCTTGGGGATTATATTCTCATGTTGTTCACAATATTGTGAATAATATGGGAATACTCCCCCTTGTTGTCTCCATATTCGGAGTAAGATAGGGATACATTACCATATAATTCTCAAAATTGGGAATAAAATGGGGATATATTACCATGCTTTTGTAATAATTGGGAATTAACTGGTGTTATAGTACCATGTTGTTCACATAGTTGGGAATGAAATGGGGATATTTTACCATGCTTTTGTCATAATTGGGAATTAACTGGTGTTATAGTGCCATGCTCTTCACATGGTTGGGAATTAATTGGGGATATATTACCATGCTTTTGTCATAACTGGGAATTACCTGGTGTTATAGCGCCATGCTCTTCACATAGAACTTTGGGAAGAAAATGGGGATATATTACCTGCTTGTTTTTCTCAAAGTTGGGGATAAAAGTGGATATATATTATCATGCCTTTCTCATACTTGAGAATAAAATGGGATATACTATCATGTTATTCTCATAGTTGGGAATAAAAGGGGGATACATTACACTGTAATTCTCAAAGCTGGGAATGAATAATTATTGGGATATGTATTGCCATGGTATTCTCAAAGTTGGGAATGAAATAGAGATAACACTCCCATATCACTCTGGAGTTGAAATCTTTTTCATGGGAATACTTCCCCAAGTTGGTGATATATTTCCTAGATGTCTTAAACTTGTGAATACTATGGAAATACTCCCTCATGTTATTCCCAGAGTTGGGAAAAAATGAAGATATTTACTGATATACTCCCGAGTAATTCTCAAAGTTAAAAACTGAACTGGGACAAATAGTTGATTTGAGACATTCACAGGTGAATTTAGCTAATAATTTATTTACTGTATGTAGTCAAAGGAAAGAAAACATGTACATTTCCTCTTTGAACTCTACAACTCAGGTTTGTGTGACCAACAATTATTCTAGTGACTCACTTTAATTTACAGTATTTGGTGAAACTTGACAACATACCAGACTTTTTAATGATTCTCTACCTGATATTGTTTCATTCCTTTAAAAAATTGTCTCAGTTGGAAATTTATGAACAACACACTGCCACTAGACATTATTGATGCCATGACCCAAACCCAAGACATACCACATTTCTCCTGACAGCTAGCTATCTTAATTAACGAAATTTTAGGTTAATAGCTCTTAGGCAAGATTGTAATAACCAGCCATAACTAAATATATGGGACTGCTTCAATGAACTCTAACATTCTCAAGCAAAAGAAATATGAGGCAGTCATTTGGATTTCCGGTATCTTGAGATTGAACATATCTACAATTAGCTATCAAGATTTTTGGAGTAAAATGTTTGGATACAGATATTTCATCAGTACACATACTACAATCATCATCAAAACTGTTGGGAAGGCTGCTACTTTTAACCTCTTTTTTTCTTTCCTCCCCCCCCCACCCCCCTCCAACCCTACCCCATGTTGAGCAAAAAGTTTATGTTTGTGCATGTAATAATTGTTCTCCCTGTTATATCCCAACATTGAATAGGGGGGACTGGGGGTATTTACCAAAAGAGAAAACTCTCTTTTTTACAAGTGAAAATGGACTACTGTTAAGTTGCACAACCTTCCCAACTTAACTTTTGTCTGGGATTGTAGCTGTCATACCTGTAGAGTCAGAACTTTACTCTCAGATCTTCTAAATACACACTCAGTGTAGTGTCTGCATTTCTAACAATTGTTTTCAGGCATTTTCAGACATGATCAGATATTCTGCTGCCAACAGTTTGTACTGATCCGCTGGCCCTGCGCAACTCCAGTTACTGAATGCAAAGACACTTTGTTAACAGCTGTTCTTCCGAGTGTCTCTCGTTCATATCTACCAGGATGGTGATGCTTCTCTACAAAGAAGACTATGTCAACCACAAGTCTTTCCCAATCAATATTTAGAGCTTTGCCATACCAGATATCCCCAGGAAGCTCTCCTTGAATGAGCAACATGTCATCTTTCTCTGGGTAAACTGGAACAATGAGTTCATAAGGAAGGCTCCTCAGTTTTCTCATGTAATCAACAACAGTGGCTGTATTGTTCCCACAATCATACAGCATAACTTTTCTTGAAATATTTTCAGTGGAAAAGAAGACTGTTCTACTGTCAGGTTGCATTTCTACTTTAGGGAAACCATTCCAAAAGTTCACTGCAATGAGCCCATTGCCATCTCTCAAAAATGGCTTTACACTGCCCTCCCCAAGCAACAGACAATTTCCTCCCTCATGTCTAACAGACAAAAAATGGTGAACAGATACCACTTCTTCACTGCCTTCAAAAGTGACAATGATACTATCCTTGCTTGATAGCACCACACCTTCACATTGATCAAAAAACATTTCTTTGTTATTGTGGGAACAGCTGATATTTCAGTTGGAGAAAGTGACAGAGCAGCTGCAATCTTGATGTGATCGTCTCTGGTCAACTGACAAACTCTCTTTGATGAACCAAGTAACAGGGAATGCTGTCCATCCTTGCGGCATATTGCTCTAGCCATCTCCACAGAGCGCACGACACCCTATCAGTAGAAGAGATTCAAATTAAATTTGACACCTAAAGGTCCCCTTACGAAAAACAATAAAACCTTAAAATTAGAAATAGTAACAGTACTGGCAATCTAAGCAGAAAATCTTCAGTTGCAATTTTGATATAGTTGTACATTCTATACACATAGTGTAGCCTGGATTTTTCAGATCTTCCCTTCTTCTCCCTTCAAGCCCCAAATATTTTTCAGCTGCCATTATTAATTCTAGCTATATGGTGAGGTTAGGTGGCAAGCAAATAAGGTTCTTACTTGGTATGAAATGACAACTAGATGTACCGGTAGTAATAATAATCTTTGTTGTTTAATGAGGTGTTTTGACCACATAATTATCATGAATTAAGCTGACAAGCTTGTTGAATTTCCCATGTTATCTTCGATATGTCCAGGTGCATGTGTGTTACTGTTAGGTAGCTATGCCCCTGTTCTGATCTGATGCTTCAAGAGTAACTCCCTCTCCTCAGTGCCTTGGGGGCTTAATTCACTTGCCTCACAAAACTAGCTGATTGGCAAAACCACATGAAATGAATATATATTTTTGCTGGTCATCACTTTTACCTGTAAAAATGTACCAAGTACATGTATCTTACAATCAATTTGCAAAGTGCTCTGTCTGGATTATTAATGGATTCAGCACGTCTAAGCAAATTATTACTACAATCATTATTCTTATTTTGATTGATTAAAAGTATTAAATAATTATCTTAACTCAAACTTTGTGATCACACTCACTGAATTTTATTGCTGTACATTAAGTCACCTCACCTGACTTGTATTACTTTCTTGTAGTTGACTATCATCTTCTTCTTCCAGACTTTTCAACTACAATTGTTGGACCTTTTGATGTAGTCTTTAACAGCCCTTTCGAAAACAGCGCACCAATAGTTATCTGTTGCGGAAAAGTTAATTATATCTTCATGGATGTGCAGCATATTGTGCACTGACACTGTACACATGTCAAGTCCTTGTGTTTCCTCAATTTTTACATTAATTCTTTGGGCCAGCTTTCTGTGCATCTAGATCATTTCATCACTCCATCCATCTCGCCCACTTGTGAAGTGTAGTTCAACAAACCTTGACACAGAGCAAACAATTTCAAGTTCTGTCAAGTTTTCCATCTTTCCTTCTACAATGCATTCCAGCATTGGAAAGAAAAATTTCTGAAAGCCCTCGGCTTTCCAGTAGTTTAAACCTTTACCTTCCTTTCCAACAGCAACTGGAATTCTTCCATTTTTAAGCTCATTTGTCCATGGAAAACTCTTCAGTTTTTCATCAAGGTAAGTTATGTCAATCAATTCAAGTTCTAACATCCTCTGTGTTTGGTTTTTGCATAGATTCAATAAAACTGTGTGAAAAACATCAATCACCATATGTTGCAAAATGTCAAATCCGTAAAGTGGATACAGGTATCTATGAAAAACACTTGTTCCAGTGAAACCTATCTCAGAGGACAGAGTTTTCCTCACACTTTTTCGGGTTTCATTGTCAACATCATATAGATTATCAAGTTCATGTTGAATGTTTCTCCTTGCCCATGGATAACGGCAGTGATAAAGATTGTTTCCATAGTAATAGCGATTACAGTATTCACTTTGCTGCCCAGTAACCTTGCATCTCCTACAGCCACATTTGTCTTGATTTAAAAATTTTCCAAACTCACATTGACCTGGATGGTCTGCTGTCCAACAAAGCAACAAAACTCTCACAGTTTCCACTTCACGTGGTTCATAGTCAGCTATGGTAACCCCAGGGGGATATGTTACTTCAAACCCATCAATGAAACCTTTACAGAGGTCATGCATAAGTGGTTCCAGAAATGGATCATAAGCTTCAGGCACATTATTGGGAACAGACGTGCATGGGACAAATCCCACGACATAGACTTCCTCAACATGTGTGCGATCTTCTTTACACATATTAGCAATTGAAATTTCAATCGAGCCACAGCTCCTGAATTCTTTGGCATCTGAATAACCTTGTTCCTCAAGAAGTAATTGGACAGCTTTCCAGTCTTTTGGCCACAATGCCAAGAGAATATCAACATCAATGTCACTTGAAATTGATTCCAAAAGCATTGCTTTCCCATATGCAAGGATATCTTCAAATGTCTTTATTGAGGCTCCGGAATTGTCCATAATACTCAGTGCCTCAAGTACAGCCTTGACAACAAGTTTCTTCAAAGGGTTTACATTCTCAGTATTGCAGTTGTTCGACGCGTCTTTTTCAACTAAATCACTCTCAAAATCAGGATTTTCATCCATTTCCAGTACCTCCAGCAAGTCAGTCCTTTCTTCGCCGATGTCCATTCCTTCTTCAGGACCATTTGTGTCCGATCCTCCACCTGAGTGGAAATTAAACTCAACAGTGCCCGTAGCACCTGCATCTAATAATCGAGCCTCTGACCAATGCCGCAATTCTATGCTTCTTGTAGCCTTTCCCTTACAACGCAAGCATCTGCAGTGCACATGTCTGTACGTTTTTTCAGAACAATTACAAGAGGAAACTTCTCCTCTAGTCCAGGTGTGAACAGCCTCAAAATCCATCTTTCTACCAACATTTTCGCTTGGCCGCCATTTTTTCAACAACCTTCTAGTTCCCAGAGCTTCGCGATTTTTCATCTGGGACCAATAAGAAACGTTAGAATGATAGAGCGAAAAAGGCGGGAAACAGTGACCAATCAAAACACTCGACAAATGACGACAGTTCAGTATTTACGCGCGCCAACACATAGATTTGTTCTCTTTCTCCACTCCCTTCGTGCTAATGAAAGCAGTAATGGCAAGCGAGTTGGTGAGCGAGAAGGAAGATAATCTTGGAGATGACAGTCTTCAAAGTTGTTCCTCTGATGACTACGAAAAAGCTATTGCTAAAGTACGCGCCCTATTCGGAGAAGCGATTCTTGTGGCTCTAGATGGTAAGAACCGATTCATTGGCTGTTGTCTCTGCTTTTGCAGTGGGTTATTTGTATTACATGATTTTATTATGAATTGGAAGCCGAGCTTATTACTAGTTAAGTTTGATTATGTTCTCGTTTCACTGTTACAGAAGAGGAAATCAGTGACTGGCAATTAATTACCGACTTAGCGGAAAGAGAAGCCGACGCCCCTATTTTTGCGAAATTAGGTTTCACCTACGGTAAAGCTGTGCGTTTTAAGAAAGAATTCCAAGTAACACATGGCAGACATTTCCACAAGCGGCCATCTTCCCCAGCAGTGCCTGCTTACAAGCCAACAATGGCGGACATGTCATCTATGTCGCCAGAAATGAGACAGCTTTATTTGGTCAAGTAAGTTATGCATTATCTGGGTTGTTTCTATATTATAACCTGATAATAAGCAACTAACTTACATTAAATTTCTTGAAGCAAGTTTTCCTCCTCCATTGAACTCGTAGATTTTCAAGTTTTCACCATTTTGCACGCATCCTCACAGCCTTCTAGGAAAGTTATCCTGACCATTATTTCTGGGTGCGAACAATGTGAAAATAGGGCGAAAAAGTGCGAACTTTTAAAGGGGTACCCAAATAACCTTTTAACATCGAAACAACACAGTTTGGTAAAAATTCAGTGTTATCCGTGGTTCATGGAACTTCTTATCTATCTAAAAGACACATTTATCCCATATTTTATTTACAAATTCAGGAGAAAGAGGATTGGTGTACTTGCAACACAAAGATGGGGAAAGAGTTTGCCAAAGTTCAACTCACCAGAAACAAAACAACAGTTGGCAGAATTTGCTACAGAAATCACTCCTGAATGTGGGATACCTGAAATCAATTTTGGTGAAGACGGCATCGCGAGACACATTCAGACTTTCTTCAGTGAACAACGCCGTTACCAAAAGAATAAAAAAACTCAAACACCCTGCAAGGTTTGTTACATTTATTTTTTTAGTACACAGATGCAGATAGACCAGAGTGTCAATATGTTTTCTTTTCGATAACGGTAGATAATGTGAGAACTGAACTGTTGTCAAAGCAAATTAAAGATAATAAGTTTAACTGTAAAAAAAGACTTATGTTTGAGTTTAATTTTGAGCTTGCCACGGGGGTTTTAAATTGTACTTGCTTCTCTTATTCCCTTGTGTAAGTTTACAGTTAATTTGAATTTCCTTTCATGAGTTAGATTGTTTTGTAATATTACTTTAATGACATAACTAAAACATATCAAGTGAACCAGCATGACCAACAGACCCTGTTTTCTCTACACAATTTCAGACTGAAACTGAGTTGAAGGAGAAAAGAAAGAGGCAAAAGGTGGAAGATGTATGTATCTCTTACCAATGTTATCACTTGTTTTTGAATAATATGTTCTATATCGTTAAGCATGTGATTATGGCCAAAAAGATAATTCAATGTCTGCTTTTCCTCTGAATGTGTTCTTAGTATTTTCCCAGGCTTGACAAGATCTCCAGTGTCAGGGGCAAATAAAGTTCCCTTATCTAGCTTTAGTGTAAAGTACCTTTTAGGTATTTTTCAACTTTGTATTTGAATTTTTTATTAATTTCAGTCTGAATTGGAGTTTGTGGTGAAGAAAATCAAGAAGCAAAAAGTGGAGCAAGTATGTATCTGATAGGCCACTCCTTAAGTTTAAAATAATTATAGGAAAATGTTACAAGATAATCTGTGCTGGCTATGCATGCCCACTTATAAAAGCAACAGGGAACTGAAAGCTATCCAAAGAAGTTCAACCCTCATGGCCAGATGTTTTCATGTAAACCATGAAAATTTCATGAAAACTGGGAGAACCTGTTGATATGATTTGGAAGACGGTTGCTGCAAAGAGTTCAGTTACAGGGACACGTCACTTATCATTTCTTTGTTAACTGTTTCTTTTTGTAGTGTGCAAGTGGAGAAGTGACTCCAAGCAGTGCAGGCTCATCCGCAGATGTTAGCTCTGTTGACGGTGGTGATACTGAATCTGTCCATGAGGATGAGAACAGTGCAAGTGATCATGAATCGCCCCCGTCCACTCAAGCTAACTCAAAAGTTGCAAGTGTGGAAGAAGAGGCTTGGCAATCAAATCTGGCTATGAACCAAGCCATTGTAAAGGGTGTGTTTGGTAAACTTTTAAAGAGAGATGATATTACGCATGTCCTTAAAAAAAAGTTTGCTGTGCAGCAAAAGATGATAACTAATTTAAAGCCAACAGAGCTACTGAATGTATTAGCTAGAAAATTGGTACGCCATAATTATTGCAAATTAAAAGGAGAAGGGAAGAATAAGGAAGATATAATTGTACTCAAAGAAATTTCTTTTTTTTGAACTGCTGAGGCCTTGAAAAATACAGTGCAAGTTGTGTTGATTCTAACATTAATAATCTTGTTTCTGTTTGAACCTGTCAAATTTATAACGTTTGATGAAAGCGATTTTTAGATGATTTTGACCACTTTGTATTTGTTAAAACATATAGGGCATTAAATGAAGGCTCTGACATGTACATTTATAAGATATAAGAAGGCCAAGCTAAAATAATATTATTAGAAATTTTAAATTGATGCACTTGTTTATAAAAAATAAATGTGAATCAGTTCTTGTTACCATGCATTGTTGCAGAATGATCAACTATAGCATTATTGGGGTACAGGGCAAAGAATGCATATGGCCAGGGACGTGAGAACCCATTTAAGGGGAAGTGAAAAGCCACATCGGAGAAATAACTGGGATGTTAAAACCTATGTAAGGGAAAATGCTGGGACATTAAATCCCAATGAAAGTGAAATTAAGGGGATATTGATATCCCCTAAAATACCCTTTTCAGGAAAATTGATGGAACATTAAAACCCCATGCCAGGGAAATCAAAGGGATATTGAAATCCCAAGAAAAGGAATTTATTGGGACATTGAAAACCCATGAAGGTGAAATAAGTGTGACATTTAAACCACAATTACGGGAAGTTACTGGGAAATTAAATACCCAGAACAGGGAAATTTATGGCCCCTTAATTTCCCATGTCAGGGAAAATGATGGAAAATTAAAACCCCATGTCAGGGAAATCGTAGGGACATTAAAATCCCA